CAGATGTTAATTTAACATTAACAAACTCATAACAACAATGCAGAAGAGGTTAGTAAATCAGAATATACACAAGTAGAAACTATGCAAAATGAAACATGAGAGAAAGGACTGAAAATAGTTGTACAGAGCAACAGGGGGCTGTGGGACAATTTCAGGCAGCAAAGTGGAGGCCCAGAATAGGAGGGGAAAAACTTAAAAAAGAGGCCAAAAATACTAATTTGAGGAAAACTAAATCTATCCATTGAAGAAGCAAAATGAATTCCAAGCACAAAGAACATGAAAAAAGACATACCAACTCACAGAAAAATAAAATTGCTTAACATCTGTGATAGAAAGAAAATCGGGGTGCCTGGGTGGCTCAGTTGGTTAAGCGTCTCTTTTTTTTTTTTTTTTTTTTAAGATTTTACTTATCTATTTGTCAGAGAGAGAGAGAGGACAAGCAGGGGGAGCAGCAGGGAGAGGGAGAAGTGGGAGCCCAATGCTGGACTCAATTCCAGGATCCTGGGATTATGACCTGAGCCAAAGGCAGACGTTTAACTAACTGACTGAGCCACCCAGGTGTCTCTGAGTGTCCAACTCTTGATTTTGGCTCAGGTCATGAGATCGAGCCTTGTGTTGGGCTCTCCACTTAGTGGAGTCTGAGAGTGCCTCTCCTTCTCCCTTTGCTCTCCCCAAACTCGTACATGGACATAACAGTCTCTCTTTCTCTGAAATAAATTTTTAAAAATCTTAAAAAAAAAAAAAAGAAAATCTCAAAAGCAGCTGGAGTGAAAAAAAGATAACTTCTATAGAAGGAACAAAGGTAAGGATGGCAGTGGATTTCTGCTCAGGAATGGTGCAAGCGAGAAGACAGTGGGGTGGAGCAAGATCCTTCTGCAAAGAAGGAAACTGATGGGGTGCCTGACTGGCTCAGTCAGCAACTCTTTACATTGGGGTCATGAGTTTAAGCCCTACGATGGGATTGAGTTTACTGAAAAAAAGAAACAAACAAACTACTGACCTACAATCTTTACCAAGTGAAAGTATCAAAACCTGAGGAGTGGGACTTCTAAAATGGCTGTGAAGATTCTGGCAGATGCTCTCCCCAGAAAACAGCGATGAAACTGGTCTAATTGTTAAGACAACTATTTAAGGACTCTGGTAATGGCCCAAATTTATATAATAAAACTGAGAAGGATTTATTTGAGAAAAATCTACTGAAGCTTGATGAGAACGGTGGAAATGTGTTTCAGTCAGGGGCTATTCACTTGACCTCCCCTCCAGTTCCATGGTATACAAAAATCTTACAAGGGAGAGGGGCTGACTTTGTTTGAGACAAAGCATAGAAAATTCTATAGGCATGGATGTCAAAAAAAGACAGCAATCAAAGTGGCAAACATTCAGGGAATACCAACAAACCGACTAGCCAGAGATGACAGCAGTGGCTGGTCCAGCTAGCCAGAATGCAACAGGAAAGTCAGGAGACTGAGACAACAGATGTCAATTATTATACAGCAAGAAGGCTGTGTTTTAAGGCATCTTCCTGGGGCCACGTGTACCAGGAGACATGTACAGGAATGTTCATGACAGGACTGTCTGCAATAGCAAGAAAATTATGAACCCCAAATGTCCATCAACAGTCCAAAGAATAAATAGCACATTTTCATATAAAGGAATCCCACTGAGCCATGAAAGTGAATGAACTTCATGGCTATCCACAACAATCTGGATGAATCTTAGGAAAAGAATAATGAGCAAAAAAAAGGAAGACCCAGAAGAACACACAGAGTGAGATTCTAAATGTGCTATTTAAAACCAAGATATTGCTTACGGATATAGGGATATGTGGTAAACCTCTAAACTGGGCTCCTGAGGGTTAGCGGGTGGGCAGCCTGCCTGACCAAGGACAGCAGGGTGGGGAAGAGGAGGACACGTGAAGGTCATAAATATGAACAGGAAGCTGTATAGCAAAAAGTCCTGTGATAGGAGAAGTCACTAACTGGGGAAGAAAACGGTTTCAGTGGAAGCATTTCAAAGTAAAGGAGGTACTAGTCTTATCTACATGTAGTGGAAGGGCCAACCCTGGACTGAGAATCAGAAGACCTGGACTACCCTCCAGACCTACTGTGAACTTGCACTACAACCTCAGCAAGTTTTCACCTATGGGGTTCAGGACAGGAAGCTCAATTAAGATAACACAGGCTGCAGAGCTTTGTCAATGCCTTCAGGGAATAGGAACAGGTGAGTTTCAAGATCATCACAGTCTCAAGTAGAGACAGATTTACCAAGACACTAATGACACTTAAGCTTCAGAATCCCTCACCTGCCCAAGCCCCCTTCTAAGGCCCTCAGAAGAATCCTAACCATTTTGTGTTATTTCTCCTTGAAAGAGCCTTAAGTGGTATAAACTTTAAGCTCCACTTGACCTGAGCTCCAAAGTGGCAAAAAGCTTAATAGACAGCTAGAGGAGATTCCTGTTTAAATTCACTATTCCTATTTAATTTTCCTGCCTCAGAAAACCACCTCCTAATTCAAACTACATTTCCTTCAGAAACTAAGAGTGTGCTTTCAGAAACTAAGAGTGTGCTCTCAAAAGAGTGTGATGAATAAGGCTCCAGAAATCCCTGGCTGTGCCCTTTGTGTACAGACCTCAGGATATATCTAATCTTCCTGGATAACTCAATACAGCACAAGATTACTTTTCTAAGAAGGCCCTTTGCTAGGAAGGTGCAAACTAATTTTGGCAAATATCCTTGCTAAATATTGTAACTGGCTCAACTATGACAGAACCACCTCTGTGTTGCCTCTACAACCTGTTTTTTTTTTTTTAAGATTTTATTTATTTATTTGACAGAGATCACAAGTAGGCAGAGAGGCAGGCAGAGGGAGAGAGAGGAGGAAGCAGGCTCCCCACCAAGCAGAGTGCCCGACATGGGGCCCGATCCCAGGACCTGAGCTGAAGGCAGAGGCTTAACTCATTGAGCCACCCAGGCACCCTACAACCTGCTTTTAAAACACTATGCAATCTTGCCCCAAGGCTAGTAGCACTGTCACATACTCCCTGCCTTCAACAGGTGTTCCTGACTCTGGTCTTCTGTACTGGGATCTGGAGAGGCACAAATGTAGGCAGGGCTGGAGCACAGGCACAGTAGGGCTGGAGCACAGGCACAGTAACAAACGCGATTACTTACCAGCCGGCATTCTGTGGAGCCCCAAATCTCCTTGTGCTTTGTCTCCTCCATGAATGGAGGAGAAGCTGAACCACTGATCTGAGACCAGCAAGAAGAATCTGCCACCGGACAGACTACTTCTAAGAACAAATTATCCAGAAAGGGGATTTGCTCAGTAGAGGCTGAGAAATTTGTGGAGTAAGTCACAACTCTTCCTCCGTTAAGACGGCTATATCAACAAGGGTAAGAATAGGACTCCTAAGAAAATGTTATTTTGCGGAAACCAAAAAGGAACATGGAATCCACGCAAAACCAGCAAGGTTTCTGAAAATCTTAGGTCAGCAGAAATACTGCCAGCTTGGACTGAAAGGGACAGGGAGAACATGAAATCAAAGGAGAGTAGCATTTGGACCCCCAAATGCTATTGGCAAGATGCAGGCTGATAAAAGTCACCTACAAAGTGCTACCTTTGTGAAAAAGGAAGGATGACCAAGGTGTAGCCACAAGCTTAGAGGAGAAAACTAAGAGTTTAGAGGATGAAACTAAGAGCCCAGGTGGCAGAGATAAGAGCCATGGTGGACTATTCCCAGGCCTTAAAACCTAACCCAGATCCCGGAGTGTACCCAGCCAGATTTCAAAGCTACCTGAGGCTGATGACTCTTTTTTATTTTCCATTACTCCCCACCTTTCTGAAGCTGAATGTCTGTAACTGTTATCCTATGCCAGGGCCACCTTGGGTTTTGGGAGGACAGAGCAGATAACTTCTCTCATTAGTTTCACAGGGCCACAGATGGAGAAGACATGTGTTCGGGAGTTGTATTTAATGGATTAAAAGCCAGAGCCTTATCTATATCTGATTTAGATGATCTTGATGATGAGATTTTGGATTTTTGAGCTATTGAGATTTAGGACTTTGAACTGTTATCATAATAAGGTGGGGCTCTTGAGAAGGGGTGACTGTATTTTGCATGTGGGAGGAACATGAATGGGAAGCCAGAGTATAGACTGTGGTAGGCAGAAATTTAAGATGGCTCTCATGACCTTCATCTTCTGACGTTACTCTTGTGTTCATGTAATGTTATACTGCAAAAGGGACATTATTTGAGTGAGCTTCCTCTAATCACAAACAGCTCTTTACAAGCAGAGTTTTCTCTGGCTGGTACAGAAAAGATCTGAAGGATAAGAGAGATTCAACAATACAGGGGAGGTTTTCATTGCTGAGAGGGGGAAAGGCTGTCACAGGGCATAGACCTCTGGGAGAAAGAGTTAAGCATGGTCCTGGCAGACAGCTAGCAACAAGATGGGGATCTCAGTCCTACAATCTTAAGGAACTGACTTCTGCTGATAACCCTAGATGAGCTTGGGAGTGAATTCTTCCCCAGAATCTCCAGATAAGAGCCTAGTCTGACTGGTGCCTTAACTTCAGAGAACTTAACATAAATCCAGCCAAGTCTACTTGGACTTCTGACCTACAGAACTGTGAAATAGCAACTGTGTGTTTTAAGCTACTAAATTTGTGGTGATTTTTTTATATAGCAACAGAAAATGAATCCAGACTTGTTTAGGTCCACAAATTCTCTCTCTGGACACACTACCGCTCTAGCCTATTCTGAGAACAATCCTCAGGAAGCAAGAAGAGGACCAGATTGTGGCTCTGGAGCCATCCCTTCCTAGCACAAGTTTCCTCATCTGCAAAATGGGTAGATAAAAGGAGAAATGCTGTAAGGAAATATTTCTACACCAGCAAGTCTTTTCAAATATCAGATGTATTGCTAATCACAACGCCAATGCCAATACCTGCAAAGAGGGACCCAGACACAGTCAAGAGTAGAAAAGTAAAAGCTGGCTCACCTTCCTCAGGCCAAGAATGTGGATTGCTGGAATAAAGATATGCTCCTTCTCCTTCTGTTAGAAAAGTACCCAGGAAACTGGCATCCCCCTTTAAAAACAATCACAAAGAGCAGAAAATTTATAGCATAAACTTTACAGAATCAAAAGTCCTGCCCGTTTGTCTGTCTACAAAAGCTGCTTAGTCAGCCTCACAGAGACCCAACTTTTTACATGCCTTTGGCATTGCCTGGCTCTTCGGCATGTTACTGGCATTTTCAACTTGTACAGTCCTCTCCGAGTCCAGGCATCAAAGCCTGCTACGCTTGTTCATGCTCCAGTGGATTTCTAGCAACTGGAGACAGCTCTCCTTGCCTAAAACCTTGACCTCTAAGTTCTATATGTCTAGGCCAATCTGAGACCTGCTTCTAATAGTACTGGGAGATTAAAAAAAAACACACCAAAGGCCAATGGCAGAATGAATCCCTCTAACTGTGTACCCCATTAAATGGTTATTTCTAAAGCTTTGCTGGGAAGGGAACGATGCAAATAGGAATTGAGACAAAGAGGAACATATTCTTCAGGTTAGCCCTAAAATGAAATATTCTAGGTTATCTTCATAAACTGTTTATATTTCATTTTGATAAAATGTTAACATTGAGGATAAGAAGGCTGCTTACCTTTACTGCTTGTTGGGTTTTCTCAGACAATTTTACTTCATTATCTTCTACCTGTATGCAAAAGAAGTGCAAGTTTTCAGTTTCCTACTTCAAGGGCAAAACTCTCCTAGGTCTCCCCCATGTTCAGTATTTCTAGGACATTGACTGGGCAGTCCCTCCACCAAATCCTATGCTCTCAGGCCCTGATGGCTGGCAGAGCTGGGCTGCCTACTTGTCATCAAGACTCAGAGCCCAAGGCCATGGTGGACTCTCCCTCTCCCTGGGACCTGAGGTCCAGCTAAATGAGCCTACAAGATGTGGAAATCATGTATTAGTCTCCACTTGTATTTCAATTCAGAAAAAAACAACTATTTGTAAGGATTTAGGGAAGAGAACATATTAAAATATTTTGAACATGTTCATTTATATGTATTCATGTTACAATAGAGGGTGATTCTTGTTCATCCTTATTCACATCAGAATTGATTTTGTAAAACAGGTACTTAGACCATTATTAGACTCACTGCTCTCATACTTTCTGTGTCCCAAGGCACCAGAGTTTTAGACCAACTCCCACTGATGAAGATGGGACCCTTCTACATGGAGAGACTCTGCTGTTAAAAACTCAGCAGCAACCATTCTGACCAGAGAATCTACTCCTTACTACCTCTGTGACTTTGGACAGGCTGATCAATTTCTGAGCCTTAGTACCCTCATCCATAAAATGAAGGTTTAATTTCTTCCTTTCATAATTTAATAGGGACCCAAATCACTTAGTTCATTTCTTCTGGCACTTTCCCAAGATTAGGACAGAGTTAAACTAGATTCATTTGTATAAAGAAAAAGAGCTGAGATAAAAACTTCCATTTCTAAAGAGTAGCTAGCTTAGGATCTGACATCCCACCAGGGACCCAATGAAGAGGCTTTTCCTCAAATGTTCTCTCCAATTTCTCCACATTTAAATCCACTTCCACCAGATGAATGACACTAACCAGCCAGGAGCAGAATCTGGGTATGGCCGCTGTCAGGACTATGAAGCTGGTTTCTGTGGTAACAGTGCCATCTGCAGGAAGACCACAGACATGCCAGTTACTGCCCGCTACCTGAGCCCACCTTGTAGGCCCCCAAACTAACACCCCTCCCCCTCTCAGGAGCGATGGCTCCTCTTATTAGTATACAATAAGTATAGTATGGTATAGTACACAATAACTAATAATACAGTATTAGTATACAAAATCTTGGGCTCTCAGAAATTGAAAACTTCCTCATCTGGGCACAGGGAGACTAATGAGGGGAGGGAGGAAGGTTTTCCCATGTGATTAACTATTATTTTTTTTCAACAAAGAGAAACATACACTTAAATGTAGAGTCCTGGGAATTAGTTTTCTTTTCATCTATATTTTTAATTTTTTTTTTTTAATTTTATAAACATATATTTTTTTCCCCAGGGGTACAGGTCTGTGAATCACCAGGTTTACACACTTCACAGCACTCACCATAGCACATTATATTTTTAATTTTTATCAAGGTAGTGCAAAGGTTAAAAAAAAGATCTGATTATTATTTCAAATTGCTTCTTCCTGACTACCAGTAAGGCTGTACATATTCTCATATGTGTGTGTGTGTGTGTGAAGATAATGTTATAATTAATAACATGTTATATATAATTATAATATACAATAATCTAGACTTATTATATATTATGATTTATACATATATAAGAACTATGACGCTTATTTTGCCAAAACAAACAAAAACAACTCAAGTTTTGCTTTCTAAAGACCTTATAAACACTTACCCTTTTCTTTAACCACGATCTGAGATGTCAAGAAGGATTCTGAGAAGACCACAGACCCTAAGCACCCCCTTCCTCCCAGTAAGTCAGGAATGTCATACACAGTCATACAAGCCTGTATCAAATGAGAAAACAGAGTCAGGCCAGTTGTCACTCTTAAACTTTCAGAGAGAGACCCTTAAGAAACAGATCACAAAATACTGCTCTAAGGCACATTTTGACAGAATACTCCAGAGTTTCTAAGGAAAACTCAAGTTCTTCTGAACTACATCTCAGGACCAGGAGAGGACTTCAGCATCACCCATGCTCCCCTGCAACTGCTTCTGCATCAGAGACACATTTGGGCCATAGGAGTATTTCTATGTTTCTATAAATTCCCTCAAATTCCTTATCTTTCCTAAGATAATAGCTGTCCTTCTTAATTGTGATGAGGCCCTGGCCTCTCAAGAGTTAGAGATGTTTCTTTCAGGCTCTTGTACGCTCATATACTCCTCGCATCCTGGCATATCCACATGCTTGCCAATTCTTTCTCTGGTTTGGGCTCAAGTTCTGAACAAGTTGGGGAGGCGGTCATTCATTCATTACACATGTCTTCATGGATATTTCTGGATACATGTCAATACCTACAAATGCTTCTTTCAGTACCAAGAAAATGAAAAGAAAACTACTTAAGCTTTTATAGCAAGGCAAAAATAGAGGCTTTAGTAGGCTGGAAAAAAAAAAAACTGAAACAACACAGAGAGATCTCTTGAATGGCTGATAAACAAGCCCTAATTTATGTTAGAACTAAAGAAAACAGAACAACTTCAGGGGGAATCTAGCAGAAGAAATGCAGAAAATGGTATGAGCCAGAGCCAGGGTCTGGAATGACAGAAGATCTGGCGAGGGACACAGGATAAGTAGCACAATGAGCACTCTCAGGTCCTGTCTCCTCCTGGTCTGATGTTGCTGAACGGCCATGTGCAGAGTTCCTGAAACAGAGCCTATTCTCAATACACTGTGATCCTAGCCTGGGATTCCTATTCCAGGTTCAGGGCAGAGACAAAAGATGTGGGGCTCTTGAAGAAATTGCTAGATTCCCAAATACAAAAGGGAGGCAGAAGAGTTGAGGAGAAAAACTGTTAAAGCCAAAGTGGTTAGTTTTTCATGTTGTTATGAAAAAAGGATGTATAAAAGTGATAGGTAGGCTTTTATATTTTAGTTAACTTTTTTTTTTTTTTAAAGATTTTTATTTATTGATTTGACAGACAGAGATCACAAGTAGACAGAGAGGCAGGCAGAGAGAGAGAGGGAAGCAGGCTCCCCGCTGAGGAGATAGCCCGATGCGGGACTCGATCCCAGGACCCTGAGATCATGACCTGAGCCGAAGGCAGCGGCTTAACCCACTGAGCCACCCAGGCGCCCTTTAGTTAACTTTCTGATTAGGCCTGACAACTGGGAGTTTTTGTTTTTGTTTTTTTTCAAAATCTAAATCTACTTCAAAGAATTTTGAACATGTGAAGACACGAAGCCTTCTTGGGCTTCATGGTCTCTCTTAATTGATGGTGGGAACCCCACTTTTGTTTCCAGGTCAAAGAGGAAACAATCCAGTGGGTTATACTCAATACCTTACTTTTACACTTGCCTTCTAATATTGAGGAAGAGGAGAAAGAAAATTGAAAGGCAGAACTTCATTTCTATTTGAAAAGGAGGACAAGATTTATACAGAAAACAATTTTCTCTCTCTTCTTTCCTATTTCATTAGTGGCTGCTGAAAGTGTACTTAACACAATAGTATGATTCTACTGGGCTCCTGATCACCTTCTACTGTGCAAACGACCTTCCAGAGCACTGCAGAGTCTAAATAGAGATATCAGGGCCTACGGTCTGACAAGGAGATAAAGTACTAACACCTAATATTAGGAAGCAACTCCTAGCATCCTGATGATGTCACCATGAAGTCTCTTAGTTCTAAAGGAGCATCAACACAAAATGCTGATGATACAGGGAGCAGACACTTTATAAAAGGAGAACTTACAACCTTAAGAAGTTACTCTTGTTGTACTACTCTGTAGATGAGATGACACTACTGCTTTCCCACTGGTGATGGTGGCAGGCATGCATTTGCGCTGAGTCATCCACACCTGCACACCAAGTTCCTGGTGACCAAAAGCTCACTGGAATTAAGGCTCAGGCAGTAGCCACAGAACAGACTCAAGGTGTAATCCATGCCCATGTATTCTGCAACCAGAATCTTAGCTGGATAACTACCATACTCTCATGCATTGCTTGCCAATCTTCTGCACATTAGGATACACTGAGATAAATGGAGAACTTGGCTTGTGACCAGGAGCAACTGGTCTAGAAACTCGGCTCCCCAAGGCCATGCCAGCCAGCTCACCTGGGGGCCAATATTTCTGTATCTCCAAACCATGCCCCTGTCCCATCAGGGTGCCCCCAGAAAATGGGCTGGAAAGTTCTGCTCTGACTACCCACTTCACTGGAAACTTAGGCCCCCAGTTTTTTGTTTATTTATTTTCACAGACCATCGTAAGGGCATCAACTAAAGCCCTGGAACACAGAGAATCCACTGAAAACTCATCGGTCTGTGTTGAGACAGGTTTATCCTCAGCTCACATTTCCACATGAGGTCAAAACAGTCTCAGTCAGTTGGAGGAAGCCTTCTTAACCTTAGGCAGAAGTGTCTCTCTCAGACCCCAGATAAGACTCTGGACCCTGGGAAGCTGGGATATGATGCGGACCTTGTAGAGCCACCCTTAAAATCACGGGCTCACTACGGCTGCAGCTGGAACGCTCCTGAGAAAAGACCAGTTTCCTCAAGGACAGACTGCCCAAGACTCCCACCTACTCCTGTCTCACCCCTTGCAGATGTCCCTCTTTAGGCCACTCCCTGACAGCTGACTTGTAACAGCTCTGCTTACCGTCTTTACAAAGTATAAGCTATCTTCACTGTCCAGAGGCACAATCCTAGAAGAGGAAGAGACAGGAGAAACATATATCACAATTACAATGTTCTTTTCTCAACTTGGCAACAACCCACAGACGCAGATTTCTTTCAGGGCTTTTCAAAGCACTGGGCGACATGTAGGCAGAATTAGTATACAGGCCACTGGAAGGAATTAGGTCCACCACCTACTCCCATGCCTCGGTCTTTCAAAGGGAAGCACTCAGAGTATAGTGTCTCAGCTGAGTATAGCAAGTCCCAGGCCCAATCCTGGCACGATGTCATTGCCAGAACTCTAAGAAGACCACCCATATCAGCAGTTACAAGATAGCCTCTCTTCACTTCTTGTTCCTAAAAACTTGTTCCAAAAGAGCATGCATCACAAACATACACTTACCTTCCCTGATTATTCACAGCATGGATGTGAAAAGCCATCCTGGAGCTATAGACCCAAAACAAAATAAAAAGTCAGTCTGTTCTTGCTAACCACACTGTTGGCCACCACCCACCCCGCCCAGACACCTGCTGCTGCAGTGCACCTGTGCTGGGCCTTCATGGCACATTTGCCATGTGTGGGGCCAGCGTTTGACTCCAGTCATAGCTCTGCCTCTGTGCAGATTCTCAGGGCTAGCCTGACTCTTGGATAGAGCAGGAGAGAACCATGTGCTAGAACTGTTGCCTACTGCAGACAGGGAAGACCCTCTACTGGCCCATGGCCTCCTGCCCCACACCTATGACATATTGTCCTGATCTTCCTCTTCTTTACTACCTTTGGGCCAAGGTGCCATCCCTGCTCCAAGCCCAAGCAGAGACACCAAGTCCTGTGCTCCTCTCAGGAGATGATTTGCTAATCTGATGTAGTGTAAGGTACTCAGTCAAGTGACCTTGTGGAGAAGGGAGTGGGGCTCCAGATGGAACTCCCATTGCCTGGTGTTTTTTTCTTGTTCCTTCCTCCAGCTAGGGAAGTAGGCCCAGGACTAAAAGGTTTTGCCTGCCCTGGTAGAAAGGTAGCCTGCCCTGGAAAGGCTCAGTGGCCTACTCAAAGCTCTGAGGAAAGGAAGAAGGGAATGACTATGCCAGCCATGTCGACGGTGACACAGAAGCCCTCCCCCCACCCCCCAATGCGACAGCAGCTAACATCTACATGCTTAGTCACTCTGCATGGTGGGAAGACAAGGAAACAGATGTATGGAGAGCTCCTTGTCTTACCCAAAGTCAAACAACTAGAAAGCAAAAGTTTCCTCAAACTCAGGTCTGCCAGGAATAGATAATCCAGGCCAGCACAAGGCCTTAAGGAAACAAACTTCTATCCTTCTCATCTTATGGCCAGAGCTATAAGATCCAGAAGACCCAGAAGAAAGAGGCCTGAAGCCTTGCACCAGAAAGATCTGGCTCTTCCCTCCACTCCTGGAGCTGCAGCAATAAAATTCTTGTTAGATCAACTTTTTAAATGTTCTTTCTTACTACCCAGGGCTGTAGATGTTAAGAAAAAGTGGGGTACGGAGCTGAGGCACCACAGGGCACAACCCATAAGTATTCTAAGAAAATTCCCCAGTGTCGCTGGTGTCTTTTGCCTCTTTTGCCAAAAAGTGCACCAAGTGGTCCTCATACAGGATGGGCGGAGGGTTAGATGGATTGGGTTCATGAAAGTTTGGGTATGGACACAGACCAAACCGAGGGCCCTGTGATGTGCCAGGAGATATATGATGGCTGGACTGCTAGCAAGCCTGAATCCCAGAGCTTCTAGCTTCTGAGACAAAGCCAGGCTCAGGGTGTCTATTACCTGAGAGGCATCAGAGGCCCAAGGCCAGGGTCTCCTAAGCAGGAAGTGTCTCTATGTGCCCAGGAACTCTGACCCTAACAAACTTCACCCCTCATGTCCCTGTTTCGCCTTTCTAATCTTTAAACCTGGGTCCTTCAGGTCTCTGATGCTTCTGCCATTGATCTGCCTCCCATTCTGGCATCAGGAAATGTGTCTCTTTCTCATATAGTTCCTCCATCTTTGGCTCCCTGGCCTCTCAAAGCCCTGATCATGAATTTTTGCCTTTCAGATATCCTCATATTTTACTGGAACATTTCTCAGAGGGAAGACGGAATATCAAATACAAGACAGAAAAGGGTCTTTATTAAATAAAACATTAAAAATAACTCCTTATAGAAAATAGCAGCCATTGCTTACCGTAGGGCTGCCTTAAACTGCATCAACTCAAAGAAATCTAACCCAGATCCCAGGGTCTGCTCGGCTACCTCCTTCGCCTATAAAAGCAATGACAAAACAGAGATAATTAGCTTTCACAGCAAGAAAGAGTACACATCACTGATAGGAAGTACCCTTCTAACATTTGGCCAGGAGAACACTGCGCCCCTCCCCTCTATATGACTGCTTTGTATATATCAATAGATCAAAGTGAAAACATTGTGTTAAGGGAAACAGGTGCCTGCTTTCTTTGGGTTGGGTTCACAGGAACACTTCATTCAGGCAGGTGGGCACTGGAACCTGATCTACCGGGAACTGTAATCAGCCAGGATGATGCCATTGTGAGGTCTGGAAAAGGGTTTCCTCCTCCCCTCTCCCTTGGCCCTGGGGGAGAGACTACTGCCCTTGGAGTTTCTGCCAGATGCTAAGAATATTTAAATACCTAGATTTACAAAAGATCACTTAAAAAGAAAAAGTGTGAGAACTGATACTGCATAAGCCTTCAGCTAAGGGGCTGAGAAATTCCAAGTTGCCAGGGATCCAGTTCAAGTGAGGAGGGAAGATGGCAGGGAGCTGGTGACTACGGCTACAGTCTCTGTGGTATCTACATCATATACAACCTTTCCAATATCAAATGGCTTCCTTCAGGAAAGGTCCTATTGGCATTGGGAGGCATCAAGCCGACTCTTCGCATCTCCTTACTGGGTCAGATATAGGAATCCAACTCAGCAGGGCAGGTTAACCGCAAAACATCAAGGAAGAGAACGGTCAGAGAATGAGAACACATGTGCTTGCCTAGGAAAGGCAAATCAGATTTTCTAATTTTTAGTTGTTTTTTTTTTAAACACTGAATTATAGGAAATCTCACTATGTAGCTCAACACAAACTTAGCTAACTCTATTAAATTCACAGTAGAAAAATCTGTATTTTTATTTTTTAACCTTTGAAGAGCTAGTTAAAAAAAAAACTAGAAAGTAAAACAGTAGGCTACAAAATGACTTTTCTTTAACATGACCAGATATCTACAAAGAAGTGCTGATTAGCGGTCAGTCATTCCTAGGACAAGGGCAGTTCAGTCATAGGCAGCAGAAGCTCAGCGCTCTCCAGGGACCTTTGTCTGGAGCCAGCTCCACTGAGGCCCAGGCTCGCACAAAAGTGACTACTACCAGGTGTCCAAAGACAAAACACATGGATAGGAAGGTTTACACTGAAATTTCTACTAAGGAAAGAGAGATGTGGTATTGAAATTACCTTTGTTAGACTGGAAGTTTTAGCATAACATGCAATGCCAGCCAAAACAGCCTCTATAACAGCAGCATACACCTGGGACAAGAGCCTACTTTAGAACAAAAAATATGGGTTAACTACAGCATCACAAGGTTTCAACAAAGGCTGCATGCACATAAATGACATTCCCTAAGGAACTGATTTTTAAAAAGAATGAGAAAAGTGCAAAAACAGAACTCATTGATTTCTAAGTCTTTTATAAAGATTTACTTATGTCAGAGAGAGAGAGAAAGTGTGTGTGTGCATGGGGAGCATGGTGAGGGGCAAAGGGAGAGAGACAGAATTTCAAGCCGACTCCCTGCTGAGCACGGAGCCTGACTCAGGGCTTGATCCTAGGACCCTGAGATGATGATGTGAGCTGAAACCAAGAGTTAGATGCTTAACCGACTGAGTCACCCAGGCACCCCTGATTTCTAAACCTTTTAAAAGCCATGTGCCCCACGTGATTTATACTTTGCTTTTTTTTTAAGTTTTGTAGAGCTTTTTTAAAAAAAAATTATTCATTTTAGAGAGTAAGCGAGCGAGCTCAGAGTGAGAGAATCTCAAGGAGACTCTATGCTGAGCACAGAGCCCAGTTTGGGACTTGATCTCATGACCCCAAGATCATAACCTGAGTTGAAACCAAGAATGAGCCTCTTAACTAACTGTGCAAACCAGGTGTCCCTATACTTTGCTCTTATTAAACCACGATAAGAAAAGCCAACTCTGCTAAGAAGACCAACCCTCCCTGTTTGTGATCCAACTGAAGAGAACTCTGCAGGCTCCCTAGCCCCTCTGTCAGGAGTCTGAATCCCTTCAGTATCTTGGTACAGACTTTCTGCTTTTTCGGGACCAACCACACCATACATTCATGTCATCTCCTCCCAGGCCTACGAACTGCTACTGGAACTTCAGGAGCAAAAGAGATTACCTCAGAGGAGAAGATGAGCTCCACTTAAATTTAAATTACCAGCTGCACACCATTTTTCAAGTAGCTTACCTGATCCAGAGAATAGAGTGTGCTCCTGAGGGCAAACATTCCCTTCCTAACACTGACCAATCCTGCCCTTTCTCTTGGACTTCTCACTTCCCAAATTGATTTTAAGAAGGTTTCTTCCTTCTCAGCATTTTGGGCCAGATAAATTTTTTGTCATGGTGTCTGTCCTGTGCACTATAGGATGTTCAGCAATACCTCTGGCCTCTATCCATTAGATGACAGTAGTACCCCCAGTTGGGATAACAAAAATGTCTCCAGACACTGTCAAAGGTCGCTGGGGGTGGGGCTGGAGGAAGAGGAGCAGTAAAACTGCCCTTGGTTGAGAATCACTACCTTATGAGAGAGAGATTTGGGATATTATCAGGATAATTATAGAGAGAAGGGGCTGGTTCATCCACAAGGCCCTAGAAGGCAGGGAAGATGCCTGGCAAGAAGATGATTAAAGACTTGCCAAAGACTATGTCAACGTTTATGCCTGAGAATCTTGTAACAAGTAAAGGAAGGTGACCAGAGTTGGAAAGCAGGAAGGAACCCAGAAATGATCTGGTCTAACTCTCATCTTACAGAAGAAGCAAGTAGGGCCTCAGGAGGTAGAGTAAACTGTCCAAGGCACAGAAAATGAATGGCAGACTTGAATTCAGGTCTGCTGTCAGCCTGGTGCTTTTCTATTGTACCATGTCACATAGCCAATTCCTTTAATTTCCTCCTTGGCTCCCACACCACATCTCTACATTTTAGGTAAGAGATTTGAGATGGGTAGAAGAAAAAAAGACAGAAAAAGCATACATAACAAAATGATGGCTCCAAGGATCAACATATCCAGAAGACTGTTGGCCAGGCCACAAGAGAGGGCTATGTCTTGGTAGGAAGGGGCCTGGCAGGGACAATGACAATGAGCCTGGCCACTTCCAGGTAAGATCAGAATCTTCAACACCTTGGCACAAACACCAAAAACATATAAAGATGCCCTTCCTCCTTTCCCCACCCAGCTTGACTCACTCAGTACCAAAATGTTTTGGCCCCCTCACTGCTTGGCTTTCTCCTATACAAACCGCAGGCAACAGCTGAATGCAAAGGCACGGGGCTACGGGCTTATAAAATGGCCTGAATGGGAGGCCTGAGACTCATGCCTGGATGGCACCGCCACTGCCTTCACTAGGACTCCATAAGGCCCAAGTTCTACCAGCTCTGTGATTCACCAAGTCTCCACATGTATGCTCAAGCACTGGTCAATACTAGTCCCTGAAGCAGGGCACCAATGAATTTGGTTAGGAGAAATGTTTAAGTGTCCAGAATGAAGATCTAGTGGCTAAGCACAGCTGGCACATAAGTACCAGCAGGTACAGGGGTGCTTGGGTGGCTCAGTCAGTTAAGCATCTGACTCTTGATTTTGGCTCTGGTCATGATCTCGGGGTCATGAGATTGAGCCCCACATTGGGCTCCATGCCGGATGTGGCTTCTGCTTAAGATTCTCTATCTCCCTCTCCCTCTGCCCCTTCCCACACTGCTTGTGTGTGTGCATGCGCACATACTCTTGCTCTCTCTTTAAAAAAAAAAAAAAAGTAGTACCAAAATGTACAAAGTGAGAATGTGGCTGACATGTTGCTAAAGGGCAGAAAACCCACACACTAAAAAACTGCATACACATTAATTACAGCTATACAAAACCTAAATGTATAATTTTTAAAAACCAGTAAAATACACAGTTAAGATACTAATGGGTAGTGCCAAAGAGGAGGAATTATGGCTGATCTTATTTTTCCTTTTTTTCTTTTCTATTTCCCAAATTTTCTGTAGTATGATTATATTCCTTACATTGTATTTTTTCCAGATACAGCTCAATAGTTCCTACTCCAGAGATTCTGATTCAGTAATTCTGGGAACTATTATAGCCTGGGGATCATATATTTATAAAAAGATGCTTAGATGATTCTTCGTGGTCTGTTACTATTGGCCTTTGGGAAGCACTGGTCTAGACCCCAGTAGTTTATGCTAGAATATTTAATTAGGTAATAACAGAATTCTATTATGTTCATATTTCTGATGGAAAACTCCTTTTTGGAATTCAGTAGTTCCAGCATTGTTATGGATTGAATTGAGTCCTTCTAAAACGCATAATGAAACTCTAATCTTCAATGTGACTATATTCAGAGATAGGACCTTTAAGAAGGTCACTGAAGTTAAACGAGGTCGTGAGAGTAGGGACCCAATCCAGTAGGACTGGTATCCTTATAAGAAGAGGAAGAGACACCAGAGATTTCTGTTTCTCCACAAGAGCTCAGAGGAAAGGCCAGATGAGGACACAACAAGAAGGTGGTGGTCTGCAACTCAAGGAAAGAGGCCTCACCAGAGACCAACCCTACTGGTACCTGGAACTTGGACATCAAGCCTCCAGAATTGTGAGAAAATAAATTTCTGCTGTTTAAGCAATCCAATCTGTGATATTTTGTTATGGTAGCCCAAGCAGATTAACACAAACATTATTGAGTTTCTTTCTTTCTTTTTAAAAAATTAACATATAATGTATTATTTGCTCCAAGGGTACAGGTCTGTGAATCATCAGTCTTACACAATTCACAACGCTCATCATAGCACATACCCTCCCCAATGTCCATAACCCAGCTACCTTATCCTTACCCCCTAACCCCAGCAACCTTCAGTTTGTTTTGTGAGATTAAGAGTAATTAAGTTTATTTCTTATCTTTGGTTTCCTGTTATATGTGGGGGGAGCAAAGTCAACAATGGACCTTTTTAAAGTTGCACAGCTTTGGGGCACCTGGGTGGCTCAGTGGGTTAAAGCCTCTGCCTTCAGCTCAGGTCATGATCCCAGGGTCCTGGGATCAAGCCCCGAGTTGGGCTCTCTCCTCAGCGGGGAGCCTGCTTCCCGCTCTCTCTCTGCCTACTTGTGATCTTTGTCTGTCAAACAAATAAAAATTTAAAAATAAATAAATAAAAATAAATAAAATTGCACAGCCTGAGTTCAGATCCCAGCACTATTCCCTAAGTCTAAGAGTCAAATCCAGAGGAAACACTGCTCAGACCAGAAGTGGTTTCAACATAGATTCTCCCAATGTGTTTAAGGATGTTTTATTTTGGGGATTAAAAAATGTACTATGTAGAAGACATAGTAAGAAGAATCACACCATTGAAATGGGTTTGCAGAGGAAGTCTCTGAGTTCTGGAAAGAGGAGCACATGGCAAAGCTGGCAGGACTCCAAGCTGAGAGACAGGGCTAGGAAACCACAGCTCTGCTCACCACTTCACCCAAATGTCCTACCCACTGCTGATCTCAAAGGAGCTAGAGGGACAGCCACAACTTCTGAGTAACTCAACTTTAAGAAAATATAAAATAGAAATGAAGACTTACATTTGTTCAGTTTTCTTGGGCAGCTTATTCTCATCACCTGTAACAAAGGACCATGAATTAAGTGTGACAAGATCATGTGTCCTGCAAACACTTCACAAGGAGGCTAGAATTTCTTAATTCGAAGGAGATGTCAATAACTACATTTTTTTTTTCTTTTGGGTTAAACACAGTACAATCACAACAGCTTTTCCCAGAATCCTCCTAGATCTTCATCCTTGACACTAATTTTGACTACCCACTCAGCATCACCTGTGAACATCAGAGAAGACCTGGGAATCTTAGGCTCTTGATTTATTTTTAATTTTTTTAAATTATGAGGTATAATTAAGTAGGCTCAGTTCTGACTCTTTTATCATCTCCTTAATTAGCTGACTCTTAAATATCATGCTTCTTTCAGAGTTTTCCAGCTTACACAGCAATACCCAGGTAAAAACCTGGTTTCTGCTGTATTCTGTTCTGTGGAGCAGTGCTGAGATCCTCATTTATTCTAGAGGTTCTTCTCTAGGTCTCTTTGGATATCTGCAACTTCTGGTTACCCTAGCAAGAAGGGCAGCCCCAGTGCACCTTATCTTTCTGGAGGGCCCTGCAGCATGGAACACTTGCTCCCTTCTACCTTCTAGAAGGGTAGAAGGTACTCTTCTACCACGGCTCTTCTTCAGCAGAACAGCAGGCACCTGGCTGACTCATCCAAACTCTCTATGTAGCATGTATCTCCAGCTATCCAACTGGGACTCACTCATCTTTGCCTTCCCTCTAACACTGAGCACACAGTCTCACACATGGCTAGACAATATACATGTTGAGCTGATAATTATTCCTCCAGAGATACATTCTTTGAGAAATGTGTTAGGTGTATCAACTCTCCAACTGCACTGAGAGAGGGAGTTGGAGGCCTACTAAGCGGATATCATAAGCTTCTGAGGAAAGCAGTTAATGATGACTCCATTTCTAATTCATGGGAGATATTTTTCATTAGGAAAGCTGATGAGATGAGAACTTACAGGGACTTACCCAAGTAAGGAACATAAGTAGCTCCAAAAAAGTATGTTCTTGAACAAGCAAGGGGTCCCTTTGGTGAGATGCACTGTACTACCTGCATGTCAGAAAAAAAAGTTAAAAAAAAGAGTAGGGACTTAGGTGTATACTGCTGAAAAATGAAAATTATATCATTTATGGAAATCAATTTTATCTCACCAACAGCTGATTTATTATTTTTTAAAGGCACAGAGGAAAAGATCACCTTTAATTATTGTTTTTCCAAAAGTATTTTGTGTTGTGTATTCTTTTTTAAGATTTTATTTATTTATTTGAGAGAGAAAGTGAGAGAGAAAGACAGAGCACAAGCAGGGGAGAGGCAGGCAGAGGGAGAGGGAGAAGCAGGTTCCCAGTGGAGCCACCTAGGTGCCTCTTGTGTTGGGTTTTTAACCTTGGCTATATTGTGAGATTGCTACTGGGTTAGCTCATGATGCTAATGAATTCACAACTTAGAAGGGAAAGAGAAAATGTGCTTGGGTTTTGACTGTCATTAATAGTACAGAACTTTCACAGTGAGGACTTTGGCTGACATGACAGGGAAACGTGTGGAAGCAGCTACAAATTCAGGAAAGGAGGGTGTGCCCCAGGTCCCCACTTGTGTTTGTATTTCATCTCTGTACATAAGCCTTGGAAAGAGATTTAAAAATTCTTATTCTTCGGGGCGCCTAGGTGGCTCAGTTAGTTAAGAAGCTGCCTTCAGCTCAGGTCATGAACATAGGGTCCTGGGATTGAGCCCCCCATCGGGCTCCCTGCTCAGTGGGGAGTCTGCTTCTCCCTCCCCCTCTGCTTCTCTCCCCTGGCTTGTGCTCTCTCACCTGCACGCTCTCTTTCTCTCAAATAAATAAATAAATAAAATCTTTTTAAAAAATTCTTATTCTTCTTCCCTGTTTGTTTATTTATACAAAAATGGATACAGATGTCCTTTTCTTTCGGAAATCCAGCATCTCATCAGGGTTCCCAGGCTATCAGTTATAAAAAACAAAAATGCTACCATAAGAACTAAAGCAAAAGAAATTAGTGCAATATATAAAAAAATAGCTAAATGTGACACAAATATTCATTCTACTCCAATTTTTGGGGAAGTCATAAGAGAATGCATGGCATTTTTCTGTAATATTGTGCACTGTGAATCCAAGTTAAAGATGGGTAATAAGGATTGTTTGGCCTACTCTATAATTCACCATAGTGCATATGATCAATATTGCCACGACCCTAAATAAAAACGCATGTGCATATTTCTATTTGTTGGTTAACTGGCATATTTCCTCAACAGAACATGTTTCTTGGATTTCCAAATTTCCCCCAATTGAAAGTTTCTTTTAAAGTACCATTTGTATAAAGAAGATGTGGTATATATATACAATGGAATACTATGCAGCCATCAAAAGAAATGAAATCTTGCCATCTGCAACAACATGGATGAAACTAGAGGGTATTATGCTGAGTGAAATAAGTCAATTAGAGAAAGACAATTATCATATGATCTCTCTGATATGAGGAATTTGAGAAGCAGGGCGGGGGGTTGTGGGGTTAGGGAAGGAAAAAGTGAAACAAGGCTTTTCATGTCTGTGCCTATTGGCATTTCTGGGTTGTCAGCTTCTCCAGTATCCAGTCTGGGATATATAAGCAAAAAGGAACCCCAGAAAACTCACTGCCATTTTGTCCCTTTGGTCCTAAGCTCCTCAGCCAGCCTGCCTTCTTCTACCTTCCAGAGTCTTTCCATGTTTGTTTTACATAAATGTCCAGTGTTTTTAGTTGTACTCAGTAGAAGGATTTGGAAAACAATATCTCTACTCCCTCTTCCCAGAAGCAGAACTCAGCTAAATTTCCTTTAGTTTTAACATATTTAGTGAACATATAAGATTACACCAAGAACCCTATGTCATTTGGCATTTCCTGTGTATTCCCAGGATCCTCTGGGGGGTTAAAACGAGATCTGCGCTCTCCCATTAAAGGGCAGTAAGATCCTGACAGCATATCCATCCACTCAAGTAGCCCTATATTCCTGACCAGCTTAGAGGCAGAAAAATTTAGTCCATGAGAGCGTCAGTCCAGAGCGACTTAGCCTCATTGTTCTCCAATCAAAACTAAAAAATAGTACCTACCTCACCAGTTTTCCTGTCAGAAACATTTTGAAAATACTTAAGCTTCCACAGCCTTTTACAAGCACTAGAGTCTCATATTTAAGTCTAATGTTTCCTTTAAAAGAATGTAGCAGACAATTTACCACCAAATGAAAAAGTCTTCTCCCTGGCACCCTCAATAAAAAGAACAGTGATCCTCAAAGTTTACGTCCTGAAATGTAACAGTGAAGACATAACAAACCTAAGAGGCTTGGAATGAGTCTATTTGCAAGTTAATTTAAAAGTTTTATTCTAATGACAACATTACTATGACAACTTAAAGAGTTTGGTTTGATAAAGTATTTTTTAAGCTTTTTCCTTCAAATATTTAAAAATTAACTATGATGTTTTCAAATCACACCTAGTACTTACGCAAAAATACAGTGAGTTTGCAATCACTTCTTTCACTCCAAAACAACTTCGAGATTAAATCAATACATGAACTGGAAAGGTTCCCCTTATCCTTCCCTCCTCCCTGGTTATAAAACCAATTAAGCACCAGGTAGTCAAGCCACTCACCATGTGTTTGGCAAAGCTCCCATTGGGACCAGTGTTGCGTACCAGATGCCCTTCAGAAGGGAAGTTAAAGTTGCCAGCATTCAGATTGTCTCGTGTGGAGTGATTACCAAAGAGAACGAACGGCTGCCTATTAGGGCTGCAGTGGCAAACCAAAAATGAGATTAGAAAAGAGAGTCCTAGCTAGGGCAACTTACCAGTAAGTGGGTTCTTAGGGTTTTCAGAGTGGGTTTTCAGTCCTGCTTGGGGTTTTCAGTCTTGTAGTCTGAGGAAAGAGGTCAGTACAATCCCCCTAATACTCCTTGCTTGCTGGGAAGCGATGCCAGATGTCTCTAACTCCTCCTACTGACCCACAGGGATCATTTAGGGACATAACTAAATTCAAGCCAGGTTTGTATTTTCAGCTTGTTCTACCTTTTTTTTTTTTTTAAGATTTTATTTATTTGACAGACAGAGATCACAAGCAGGCAGAGAGACAGGCAGAGAGAGAGGAGGAAGCAGGCTCCCCACTGAGCAGAGAGCCTGATGTGGGGCTCGATCCCAGGACCCTGGGATCATGACCCGAGCCGAAGGCAGAGACTTTAACCCACTGAGCCACCCAGGTGCCCCTGGCTTGTTCTACTTCTTAAGGACAAAGTTCCATAGGTCTGTCCATGATGCAGTGATGGAGCAAGGTTCCAGTTTCATACAACAGCAATTTAATAGAAACAGAAATTTTAAAGGATGACACCAGTTGTGATACTCAGACCAAAGGCAGACAACAGAGGCATTAACTATTCCGGAGCAGCTTTTAGGATGGGAGGAGGAGAGTAGGGTTGCAAATATCTCATTGCCACACTTACCTGCCCTGCATGCATCCCCTTCTTCTGTCTCCTCTCTTGGTTAGACTTGTCTGTTTATTTTAGTTTTTTGCTGTCACTTTCTGCTCACTTCTCAGTCCACTTTAGTTGACCCCTCAGTCATTTTACTCCAATTACTCTTGCAAAAGTCACCATGTGACTTTCACATAGCAAATAGCAAAACCAATGGATAGGCTTCAGCCTGCCCTTCCTTGGTCTCTCAGAAGCACCTGACACGCTCTCCCTGAAAGAGCTGTTGCATCTCAGTTTCCCTTGTCAGCCATTCTCTTCCTCTATCTGCCTCTGAATATTCCCAGGGTTTTACTTTCAGCTGTCTGTCTCTCCTTTCCTCTTTCATTATCTACCCCCCGTTCCCCTTCTAGTTCTTGCAATAAATAAATGGCATTATCATCCACCCAGGGACTGAGCCAGAACTGAGAAGCCTCCTTAGGCCTCGAGTTCTTCGCCCCTTACCTTCTAAATCCAACCAACTACCATGTTTCACTCCTATTTGTCCATTTCCCTCAACCCACATGGTCACAAGCCTCATCCATGATGCCATCATTTCTTCCCCAAACAACTGCACTGCCCCCTCACAGTGACTGTGCTTCCACTCTTGCTCTCCTATAATCTATTCTCCACAGTTCAGAGGGGATAACTTTCATACACGGAAAGCTTTTTAGTGCCTTTATTTCATTTTCCGGAGAAGGACTGGAATCTTTCACATGACCAAAGAAGACTTGTATGGTCTGGCCTGGCCAACTTCTTTGGCTCCATGGAAGGTCACTCTCCCCCAACTCTTATATTCCACCAAACCCATCTTCTTTTATGTTCCTTACACTCTCATCTCAGGATGCTTTTCTCCCTTAATCACTTTAAAAAAAAAATTTATTTTTAAGTAATCTCTATACCCAGTGTGGGGCTCGAACACAAAACCCTGAGATTAAGAATTGCACATTTCACTGATTGAGCCACGCAGGTGCTCATCTTATTACCTTTACTCATCATTCAGATCTCCCCTCAGAGAAGACCATGTTCTCCAGCTATAGTCTTCACAATGCCAAGTTCTTTTCTCCTTCATGGCACCAATCAGAGTTTGTAATTATATTATTTTGTGAGGTTGCTTGATTAATGTCTTATTTCTCTACCACACTACACACTCCATAAGGGCAGAGACCATGACTGTTGGGTTTTTAAAAAAAAATTTTTTAAGTAATCTCTATGTCCAACACAGCATTTAAACTGCGACCCAGAGATCAAGAATCAAATACTCTACTGACTGAGCCAGCTGGGCACCTCCATGACTGGTTTACTTTTTAATCATTTATTTCTTGTTTAGTATGTCATATGTTCTCAACAAATAGTACCTAAAGGATATTTTTTAAGATAGTTTCTGCTACGGACTGAATGTTTATATCCCCCACGAAATTCATATGTTAAAATTCTAACTCCCAAAGTAATGGTATTAGGAGGTAGGGCCTTTGGGGGAGGTGATTAAGTCATTAGGGTAGATCACACATGAATGAGATTATAAAAAAGGCTCTTATAAAAGAGCCTCCTGAGAGATCCCTTGTCCTTTCTGCTATGTAAGGTTATAGTGAAATGACTGCTTTCTAAGAGGAAGTGGGCCCTTCTTAGACATTGGATGGGATAGTGCAATCTTGGGACTTACCAGTCTCCAGAACTTAGGGAAATAAATGTTTTTTGTTTATAAGCAACCCAGTTTATGGTATTTTTGTTACGGCAGCTAAAATAGATTAAGACGGTTTCCTTTATTCCCTACCCTTCCCTTAAATTGCCCTTAGTGTGTGTCATGTGGAAAATTTTTTATATTTCTTGTATTATCCTTAAAAATATCTCCTTAAGTTTCAGGCAAATAGGGGCTCCTAAAAGTAAACATGACTGATTCTTCTTCTGAAGCTTAATTCGAGGTAAATGACTCTTTAGGCAGAAAAAGATGACCCTAAGTCCCAACCATGGCAATTTGTCTCATTTTAGATTGGACTGGATTTAGGGAAGAAAAGAAAGATCTACTCTCATCTATCCATCAGAGGAACCATAACCAGCGGGGGCCCTGCCGATTACCACGATAAGAGAGATGCTAAAGGAAATACCTCAAGAAAACAAATGCAGCAACCCTAATGCTCCCTGTCTTCCTGGGGCTGGACATTTATGCCTGAACTTTTTTACTCCCCGTAACATGCTATGGATCCCTGCCTAGCCCTTGAACATTCTGCTTCCTAGCTTTCCTGGGGGTAGGGATGGAATATAAAATTCCTTTCTTTAGATTTCAGCAAGTTACAATGTTTTAAAAGCTAGTTTACTATAAACCTGTATTATGAAAATTTATTTTTTTAAAAGATTTTATTTATTTATTTGAGACAGAGCAAGAGAGAGACAGCATGAGCGGGGCAGAGGGAGAAGCAGGCTCTCCACTGGGCAGGGAGCCTGATGTGGAACTTGATTCTAGGACTCCAGGATCATCACCCGAGCAGACAGCAGCCGCTTAACTGACTGAGCTACTCAGGTGCCCCTAAAACTGTATTTAAAAAAAATATATACGGATGGGGCGCCTGGGTGGCTCAGGTCATGATCTTAGGGCCCTGAGATCGATTCCACACTGGGCCCCACACTGGGCTCCCTGCTCAGTGAGGAGAACTGCTTCTCCCTCTCCCTCTGCCTCTATCCCCCACTTGTGCACTCTCTCTCTCAAATAAACAAATATTTCAAAATAAATATATACGTATATAAATAGAAAAGCGATAAACGGACAATTTTTCAAGGTATGAATTTCTTACCCTGTGATGACTAAAGTCAATTTGTATTTTCCTGACTCTACCTTAGGGACCGAGATGCTCCCTCACAACCACCCTCCTGGTCAGTCCCATTTTCTCTATTACTCACCTTTCTTCCCCAAGAAACTTACCTGTTTTCAGTTATATGGCTGGAGATCATTCCATGACTGAAGTAACTTCTGAATGGCTAGAAAAGAAGCCAATATTGTCTATATTAAGATCATAATTTTATAAAACAATCACAAAACCCCCTCATATATGTACATATGAATGTAGGTATTGTGTGTGTGTGTGTGTGTGTGTGTGTGTGTGTGTGTACGTGTGTTTGAGAGAGATGTTTACAGATTATTGTAAAAACATGGAATGACAAATGTAGTAGAAAGCAACTTGCATTTTTAGGGCAGGTAGCAAACAAACAAAATAACAGCAAAAGAAATAAAGACAAGAGGCTGCAAAAGAAAATGGAAGGTAAAGAAAATCACCACCTACGGTCCAAGTTACTAATCATGTAGGAATTTTCCCCTCTATTAAAAATTTGTTTTTCAACATTTTGAGGAACCTCCAAGCTGTTTTCCAGAGTGGTTGCACCAGCTTGCATTCCCACCAACAGTGTAGGAGGGTTTCCCTTTCTCCACATCCTTGCCAGCATCTGTCATTTCCTGACTTGTTAATTTTAGCCATTCTGACTGGTGTGAGGTGGTATCTCATTGTGGTTTTGATTTGTATTTCCCTGATGCCAAGTGATGTGGAGCACTTTTTCATGTGTCTGTTGGCCATCTGGATGTCTTCTTTGCAGAAATGTCTGTTCATGTCTTCTGCCCGTTTCTTGATTGGATTTTGTTCTTTGGGTGTTGAGTTTGCTAAGTTCTTTTTTTTTTTTTAAGTTTTTATTTATTTATTTGACAGACAGAGATCCAAGTAGGCAGAGAGGCAGGCAGAGAGAGAGGAGGAAGCAGGCTCCCTGCTGAGCGGAAAGCCCGATGCGGGGCTCGATCCCAGGACCCTGGGATCATGACCTGAGCCGAAGGCAGAGGCTTTAACCCACTGAGCCACCCAGGTGCCCTGAGTTTGCTAAGTTCTTTATAGATTTTGGACACTAGCCCTTTATTTGATATGTCGTTTGCAAATATCTTCTCCCATTCTGTCAGTTGTCTTTTGGTTTTGTTAACTGTTTCCTTTGCTGTGCAAAAGCTTTTGATCTTGATGAAATCCCAATAGTTCATTTTTGTCCTTGCTTCCCTTCCCTTTGGCGATGTTCCTAGGAAGATGTTGCTGCCACTGAGGTCGAAGAGGTTGCTGCCTGTGTTCTCCTCAAGGATTTTGATGGATTCCTTTCTCACATTGAGGTCCTTTATCTATTTTGGGTCTATTTTCGTGTGTGGTGTAAGGAAATGGTCCAATTTCATTTTTCTGCATGTGGCTGTCCAATTTTCCCAACACCATTTGTTGAAGAGACCATCTTTTTTCCATTGGACATTCTTTCCTGCTTTGTCGAAGACTAGTTGACCATAGAGTCGAGGGTCCATTTCTGGGCTCTCTATTCTGTTCCATTGATCTATCTGTCTGTTTTTGTGCCAGTACCAAGCTGTCTTGATTATGACAGCTTTGTAATAGAGCTTGAAATCCGGAATTGTGATGCCACCAACTTTGGCTTTCTTTTTCAATATTCCTTTGGCTATTTGAGGTCTTTTCTGGTTCCATATAAATTTTAGGGTTATTTGTTCCATTTCTTTGGAAAAAATGGATGGTATTTTGATAGGAATTGCATTAAATATGTAGATTGCTTTAGGTAGCATAGACATTTTCACAATATTTATTCTTCCAATCCAGGAGCATGGAACATTTTTCCATTTCTTTGTGTCTTCCTCAATTTCTTTCATGAGTACTTTATAGTTTTCTGAGTATAGATTCTTAGCCTCCCTACAACCCAGCGATTGCACTACTGGGTATTTACCCTAAAGATACAAACGTAGTGATCCGAAGGGGCACGTGCACCCGAATGTTTATAGCAGCAATGTCTACAATAGCCAAACTATGGAAAGAACCTAGATGTCCATCAACAGATGAATGGATAAAGAAGATGTGGTATATATACACAATGGAATACTATGCAGCCATCAAAAGAAATGAAGTCTTGCCATTTGCGATGACGTGGACGGAACTAGAGGGTATCATGCTTAGCGAAATAAGTCAATTGGAGAAAAACAACGATCATATGATCTCCCTGATATGAGGAAGTGGAGATGCAACATGGGGGCTTAAGGGGGTAGGAGAAGAATGAATGAAACAAGATGGGATTGGGAGGGAGACAAACCATAAGTGACTCTTAATCTCACAAAACAAACTGAGGGTTGCTGAGGGCAGGGGGTTTGGGAGAAGGGGGTGGGGTTATGGACATTGGGGAGGGTATGTGCTATGGTGAGTGCTGTGAAGTGTGTAAACTTGGCGATTCACAGACCTGTACCCCTGGGGATAAAAATACATTATATGTTTATTAAAAAAAAATTGTTTTTCTACATTTCTAATAAAGGAATATATTTTAATTCTAACACACCAGTTTATTTTTATATATTTTTTTAATTAAAGCTTTTATTTATTTATTTGAGAGAGCGAGAGCATGCAAAAGCAGGGGGAGGGGCAAAGTGAGAGAGAAGCAGACTTGCCACTGAACAGGGAATCCAATGCAGGGCTTGAACCCAGGACCCAACATATTAATTTAAAATCAGTATTGAGGGTCGCCTGTGGCTAAGTCGGTTAAGTGGCTGCCTTAGGCTCAGGTCACAATCCCAGAGGCTTGGGATTAAGCCCCACTCAATGGAGAGCCTGTTTTTCCTTCTCTCTTTGCCTGCTGCTCTACTTGTGCTCTCTCTCTCTGTCAAATAAATAAATAAAATCTTTAAAAATAAGTAAAAAATAAAATCTTCATTGAGAAAGAATCCACAGAACTTAAAAGTACACTGAAAGAAGTTTCCCAGGAAACCACAGAAGTATTTCTCAGCCTTGGTGTGTATAGTAGTACTAGGCTAAACACTAATCTAAACTTGATATGCAGGGTCTGTATTAAAAAGGTTCAAAAATTCCTTAATTATCCCACAAAAAGGCAATTTTAATCTACTCAAATAACATCTATTGTTCTTCCCACACCCTGATTATGTAAGTAATATATGCTTATTTTAGAATTTAATAAAAACCACCTACAATCTCCAATAACTGTTAACATTTTGGTATATTTTCTTCCTATGGTACATCCATAGTATATGGTTGTACCAAAGCCTATTAAATAGTTTTCTATTCTTGGAAATTTGTATTGCTACTAACTCTCTTATATTATTAATAATACTGTAATAAACAACTTTTCATAAATTTTATTTGCAGCTCTATTTCCTTAAAGCAGATCTGGAAATGAAATTTTAGAGTAAACAGGCAGAACTATATTGCCAAACTGTTTTCTGAAGAACATCTGGGATGCCTGGGTGGCTCAGACGGTTAAGCATCTGCCTTCGGCTCAGGTCATGATCCCAGGGTTCTGGGATTGAGCCCTGCACTAGGCTCCCTGCTCAGCAGGAAGCCTGCTTCTCCCTCTCTCACTCCCCCTGCTTCTTTTCTCTCTCTTGCTCTCTCTAATAAATAAGTAAAATCTTAAAAAAAAAAAAAAAGAAAAGAAAAGAAAAATGGTATTTCATTGCTGTTTTATTATATGGTCCTTTGATTTCTAATGAAGTAGAGTATTTCAGATATAGTCAATGGCCATCTGGATTTCCCTTTGGTAATTAACTGTTTACTTACATCCTCTGGATGTTCGTCAATTGGAGTTTGGGGTTCACAGATCTTACTGATCTGTAAAAACTCTTTATATATATGTTAAAATAGCTAAATTTTACTGAGGGTTTACCATGTGAACTGTGATAAACACTTAAATGCATTATCTCAAGTAGTCCTAATAACCTATAAGGTTTATTCGATCACTCACCCGTCCAGTTAGTTAATAATACTGTACTAATACTAAAATGGGGAAAGAAATGAAAATAAAATATAAAGTGAACTTCAAACATGAAAACCTCTTCAACCTTACTCACAATTTCAAAAATTCCATTTCTTATCTATAAGACTGTGAAAAATTAGAAAGTGTGACAACACATCCTACTGGTGAGGCTGTGGTCAAACAGGCACTCTCATATACAGCTGGTGGGAATGCAAATTGGTCAACCCTCATGAAGAGAAATTTGGCAATAGCTAACACAATTAAATATGCACTTACCTTTTGACCCAGCAATCACATTTTGAGGTATATAAACCTCCAACAATTTGAAAATACATAAGAACAAAGTTATTTACTATGGCACTGTTTGTAATGGCAGAATATTGAAAACAACTTAAATAAGCATACATAAGAGAATGGTTGACTAAATTAAGTTAAATCCACACAATGGGGTACTATGAAACATAACAAAGAACGAGGAAGATCTCAATGAACTGACTTGGTGAAAGTTGGAGGACATATTCTTGTTGGGGGGAAAAAAAGCGAAGGGGAAATGACTACATGTATCTTGCCCTTCAATGAAAGATACAGAGAAAATACACAGATATCTGTTTATTTGTGCAAACGAAAAAAAAGATAAATCAGAAATGAAGAGATCTGTTACCTACTGGTAGTGGACCAAGTGGAAAATGGTGAAGAGAGGGAGGGAATGAGAAGAGGGTAGTATGAAACAAGGAGTGACATGTCACAGAATATACCATTTTGAGTATCTTTCACTCTTAGAACCACAGTAATGACAAGAAAAAAGAATCCAGAAAACTGAAAAGGGCACATCAGTGAGATGCAAAACTACTTCAAGGGGCCTAATTACAGAGGTAATTAGAGTCTCTGAGAAAAAAGGTGGACAGAAAAATATCTGGACAAATAATGGCCAAAAACTTTCTAAACTTGATGAAAACTGTAAATCCACAGATCCAAGAAGCTCAACAAAAGCCCAGCACAAGAAATTTGAGGAAACTACTCAAAACTAGTAATAAAAGAGAAAATCTTAAAAGCTGCTAGAGGGAAAAAAAAAAAGACCAGTTATATACAGAGGAACAAAGATAAAGAATAAAAATTAAGATGAACATTAAAGATAAAGAGGAGAGGGACGCCTGGGTGGCTCAGTGGGTTAAGCCTCTGCCTTCGGCTCAGGTCATGATCTCGGGGTCCTGGGATCGAGTCCCACATCGGGCTCTCTGCTAGGTAGGGAGCCTGCTTCCCCTTCTCTCTCTCTGCCTGCCTCTCTGCCTACTTGTGATTTCTGTCTGTCAAATAAATAAATAAAATCTTAAAAAAAAAAAAAAAGATAAAGAGGAGAACATCACTAACAATGCAAGGGAGAAGACAGTGGAACAGCATCTTCCAGGTACTTAAAAGGACAAACACTGTCAACCAAGAATTCCATACATGGAAAAAACGTCTTTCAAAAATGAAGGTGAAATCAAGATATTTTTTCAGACATATGATTTGCACCGTGAAAAATATTAATGGACACTCTTCAAGGAAAAGGAAATCATACTCAATGGAAATCTGGATCTACACAAAGGAATGAAGAGCATCGAGAACAGTAACTACATACACAAATACATGAAATTTTAAAAATTACTTTAATCTTTTAAAAAAGGATTAAAAAGGATTAAAACAAGATTAAAAAGAGAATTAAAAAAAGAGAACTGACTGCTTAAAAATAATAGCAATGTATTAGTGGGGTTTATAAAATGTAAAAGTGAATGCACGACAACAAAAATCAACACCAACTCCAAAGGTCAGAAGTCAGTACAGCACAGGAGAGCTGAGGACTGGCAATGCAAGCCCAAGGCAGAATCAAGTGTAAGATCAAAACCACTCCTCTGATCCTCCCTGTGACTAACTCTGGGGACTGGCCTATGCCCTGGTTCTTGATTTAGATACCTTAGCTTACTCATTAAGTGAGTTTTACACTGAATCTAGTAATTTCACCATTGGTTGCCTGGAAAGAAAACTTACCTAGAGGTTCAAGTGAGGAAAGGAGTGCTACTCACATGTGGAAAATTATTTTTAGGCCTAGTAACTAGCAACTAGCACCCAATAGAATTCCTTTCCGACAGAGGTACCACCAGACTCTAAAATGAGCATTCTTCTCATATAGAAGCTGACACAGAAAAACAACAACTTCTTTATAGAGGTTGGTAGGTTGGTATGGAGGCTAAAAACTTCTTTACAGCATACAACAAAGCTTAAGGCAATAATAACCAAAACATATAAGGATTGGTACTGTTGAATTCTGAAAAAAATTAACAAAACTAAAACAGAAAAAATAAGTAAGTTAATCAGTTTTTTCTCTTTGACCCTTTCCTTACATACCTCACCCGCCTGAGATTCAGAAAGTTCCAGCAGGAAAGGAATTTCCATATCAAAATTAGCAAAGAAGCTAGTCCACTGATGTTCAAAAGCCACCAAATCCTAGGAAGAAAATAAAAAGGATAATGCATTTGGTCACATTAAGAGGTACTTTAGAAAAGCAGAATCATGAAACAGCATCAGCTATCAAAATACCAGATCACTTAAATATATTTTAAAAGTTAAAAGCAAACTACAAATACATGTTATCACATAGATGAACCTCAAAAACAACCAAAAGAGGCCAGATATAAATGACCACCTGGCGTATGCTTCATTTATATAAAATACCCAGAAAATGCACATCTATAAAGACAGAAAGTAGATTAGTGGTTTGAATGAGGCCAGGTAGAAACAGAGACTGATTACAAGTTAACACAAGGGAATTTGAGGGGTTGATGAAAATGTTCTAAAATTCGATTGTGGTGATGGTTGTACAACTCTAAATTTCACTAAAAATTCCTGAATTGTACACTTTAAATTGGGTAAATTTTATGGTGTATAAATTATATTCTAAAAAAGTTATTTAAAAAAAGAAGACAACAATGTGTACCCAGTGCCTTACTTCAGCAATCTTTATTAGAGAGAGGGACTTATTTATGAGGCACCTAAAAGATAGTACATCCAGTGACAAAAGGTGCTCACACCAGTGCAGCTTTGTTTAAGGACAAGTCAGATGACCTTAGTTAGAAGTTGGGTGGTGCCCTGGGTGGCCCATAGCCCTCTTCCCCCTCACACCCTGCCCTAAAGGTGGTGGGGGGGAATTGCAAAACTCTGTGCCTTTCCCAGTTGACTCTTGGTGCAACCTCTCTACCTCCCCCATCCCAGCTGCTTTTCAGCCTCTCTGAAGGCATTCCTGTTCCCAATTACCACACATTGCTTTGTGCTTCTGGCTTACCTTTAAAACATCATTAGTTCCTTTAAAACACACATGAGTTAACCAAAACACACGAGTTGCTTAAGATACTCAAATAACATCTTTGTCTTTTTTTTTTTTTTTTTTAAAGATTGTATTTATTTGTCAGAGACCGAGAGAGACCACAAGCAGCAGGAGCAGCAGGCAGAGAAGGAGGCTCCCTGCTGAGCAAGGAGCCCCAGGCGGGACTCAATCCCAGGACCCTGAGATCATGTCCTGAGCCCAAGGCAGACACTTCACTGACTGAACCACCCAGGTGTCTCTCTTTGTCTTAAAGTTACTGATAATTCATACTCAGATAAGTTATCTTTACTGTCCAACTCACACAGTGTATTTGTATGTTGGGCACTGACCTAGTGCCTTGCTCACAGCAGGCATTCTGTTTGCTGCACTAAAACTGACTGGCTGGATCTATGCTCCCCTCCATCCTCTCCCAGTCGATAAATAAGTACTCAGACTTATGGGCTCTGTGTTACCCATGTACTGACTCTACTTCTGGCCCTAGGCATAAAGCACAATGGACTTCTGCAAGGAATACTTAGCATAAACAACATTCTTACTAATGGCTCTGCTGCTTGCCGCCCAAATGATCTGTATTTACAGATAGATGCAGATGTATATGTGTATACATATCTAAAATTATTTTCAGTAATCATGTAAGTGACAGTGCTGATACAGTTTTCTATGTATGTTTTATATATATTGTGGGATAAAAAATCAGGTATATGTGTATGAATATATGTATATTTCCTAGCTAGAATCTCCTAGCTCTACCCACTGAAAAGATCTAGAAACAACGACCAAACCAATACCAGTGAGCATTCCTAGCATCTAGACTGTTGTGTTGAAATACCACTCCCCACTCAAAGAAACCAGAACTTATTAGAGAAGTGACTGATTCCAGATCTGGGAGAGGAAAGGTATAAAATAATCCAGGAATATCTTGTCATACTATATGACATACTAACTATGATATACAAGTTATCAAGGACTATATAGGATTGTATTAAACAATCTGTGACCAACTTAAAGCCACTGCCCAAAGATGGACAATGTGAACATTAGTAAAGATGATAACTCCAATGGACAGAAACATCAAATACGTTTACATCTATGAGTTCAGAATGAGACATATTAAAAAGAACTAATTGGTTACTTTTGGAGAATGGCTGGGAGCCAACTTTACTTTTAAAATTGATAAATAAAATCAAGAGTTCAAACAATTATCCTGCTTTTCCCACATGGACTCTACCACTGCATAACCAAATAGCAAGTTGAGTATTCCTCTTTAGAGAATATAAATGAAGAAGGAATTACAAAATTGGAATAATACCATTTTATAACGGTGAATAGAGAATCTAATAAAGATCTAAGGGTTGCATATCAATGTTCAAAAATAAAAAGAGAATCAATTAGATATATGTACTTCTTGTAAAGAATACAACACCCTCCCAGAAGTAGTTTTCCCTTCCAAAATCAAAACACTGATTAAAACTCTAGATTCGGGACACCTGGGTGGCTCAGTGGGTTAAAGCCTCTGCCTTTGGCTCAGGTCATGATCCCAGGATCCTGGGATTGAGCCCCAAGTTGGCCTTCTGCTCAGCAGGGCGCCTGCTTCCTCCTCTCTCTCTGCCTGCCTCTCTGCCTACTTGTCATCTCTGTCAAATAAATAAATAAATAAAAATCTTAAAAAAAAAAAAAAGAAGACTCTAGATTCAACTACCAATAGTAAAGAAATACAGAACACAATAGGCATGTGATCAACAAATCCCAATGAGGACAACTATAAGACAAATGATCTGCTTTCCTTAATAGGTAGTAAATGAGGGATGGAGACAAAGTGATGGAGTGGGAACCTATAGATTAAAAAAAACCTACACACACACACGCACACACAGAGACAAAGTTAAACTATGTTTTTTTGGAAGTAAATTTTGTTGAAAAAATTGCAAAGAAAAGTAAGGGGGTTACTGCCATAGAATTCATGATAGTGTTATTCTTGGGAGAGTAGGAAAGAGGTGATGGGTTTGACCAAAAGCACATTGCTTTGGGGGTGGCAAGATTCTGTTGCTTTGCTTTATAATGACTCATTAAGCTATATGTTAGTTTTATGTTCTTTTCTGAGTCTGTGTTAATAAAAAGTCTTTAAAAACAGATGCACAGGTAATATATATTCACTACAGAAAAGTCAGAAAATACAGAACAAACATGAGTTAACATTTTGTAAAATATTCTCATTGTTTTTACAGAGGTATCTTACACACACACACACACACACACACAAGTAAGTGCATACTTATAACTGGTAACCTACAGTTACCTGGGTTAGACTGCTCTGTCATACCACCTCTGTCCCGTGGCCTAGTAAACCAGACCATCTGAGTTTGGGATCCTGACCTGCTGCTATCGGGTCCAACTGGTGCCCCTGATCCAGGATCCAAGATAGTCTGTGCATTTTGGGGAATATATGAAAAAAGATGGGGCATTCTGTTCCAAAAAATTCCCTGAGGACTTGTCAGTACTAATTACAGAATAAGGTAGAATGAATCATTAAATAACGTTTTCAGTTCCATGCTATGAGTGAAATGAAAGATGTGATGAATTCTCATACTTAAAATAGCATTATATATGACATGTCCATATAAATACACACACACACACACACACACGCAGAATCTTAAAATGTCCTAACAGCCTTGCATTTCTCTATGCCCACTTTATAGATAAGGAGACTGAGGTACTGAAAAGTAAAGTGACCTGCCTGAGAATGGAATACTAAAGTGCAGAAGAGGAAATGTATCTAGGTAAGAGATACCCAGATCCTGTGTTTTTTCCACCAGACACACTATTCTCCACCTTTTTCCTAATACAAATGGTGCACTTGTGGAAACAGATACTGTGTATGTAGGCAGAATTGGTCAGTTGCATTTGATGATGAAGAAGGGAAAGTTTATCTGCACAGACTCTTTGAGACCAAATCTAGAACACAGGCCCAGACAGATATCAAGGTCAGATAAGCAGTAAAGGTCTGAAAACCCCAAGAACCATGGCAGTGTGCCTTGGTTCTTGGCTGGTAGAGAAGGATACTGAACTTTAGACAGAACTCTTGGCAGTAGGCTGGCATCCAGCTCGCTAGTGGCTCGAAGTCCGTATCATGGCACCACCAGTAAGTTGACTTGGCTTAAGGACTAGGCAAGAGGAAAGCACTCACGTCTGAGCAGTTGCTCACAATGTTCAAAAGGAGAGGATTCTGGGGCTTTCTGTGTATTTCAGGGGCTTTCAGACAGATTCCTTCTCTATGGGTAGAACGCTCATATCCCCTCCTCCTCTGTCTTTAAAAATCTCTGATCACCACACATGACTCCTTTGGGAAGCAATCCTGAGCAATTCCAGGCAGTTATTTTCCTTACTCTCTATGTTCCACTGTGATTACAGCAGTTACTAAAGAATACCACTATTATTGGTCTAAAGCCCATTAAACAGTATGAGTGGGGGCCAGGTCTACCTATTTCTGTGTTTTAGCATGAGCACAGTATCCAAGAAATAGCAGGATCAAGTTATTATTTGCTTAATAAAACCAAGAAGCAGGGGCGCCTGGGTAGCTCAGTCGGTTGAGCACCTGACTCTTAATCTCGGTTTAGGTCATGATTTCAGGATTGTGAGATCGAGCCCTGTGTCAGGCTCTGTGCTGAGCGTGGGGCCTGCTCAAAGAGCTGCCAGCAGTGACTGGCCAGTGGGAATTAAAAGCCTAGATGCTGGGCACCTGGGTGGCTCAGTTGGTTAATCTACTGCCTTCAGCTCAGGTCAAGATGCTGGAGTCCCGGGACTGAGTCCCGTGTCGGGCTCCCAGCTCCATGGGGAGTCTGCTTCTCTCTCTGACCTTCTCCCCTCTAATGCTCTACCACTTCTCTCTCTCTCTCTCAAATAAATTTTTTTAAAAATCTTAAAAAAAAAAAAAGCCTAGATATCAATTCTGGCTTAAGATTACATGTCTTGACAAAGGGGAAATAGACGTGAGCAGAAAAAGTATTTGGATGGTGGACAGAAAAGAGGGTTTTATTTTTTATCTTTTTAGATTTTATTTATTTATTTGACAAAAAGAGAGAGTGCACAAGTAGGGGGAGGAGCAGGCAGAAGGGAGAGAGAGAAGTAGGCTCCCCACTGAGCAAGCAGCCTGATGCAGGACTTGATCTCAGGACTCCAGAATCATGACCTGAGCCAAAGGCAGCAGCTCAACCAACTGAGGCACCCAGGTGTCCCAAAAAGAGGGTTTTACAGAAGTTTGGAGGCTATGAAACAGCTCAGAGAAGGGAGAGGAAAATAAGGTAGATTTTTAAAAAGTGATATGGGTACAAACTACTCCTTTTTCAGTAATTTTTCTAGAGACACGAAGACTAGAATTGCATTTTAAATACTTCTGGCTGTTGGAATCGAATTTTGTTAACATTTGTAGACTCACCACAAGAGATCCCTGCACAAATTTATGGTTATTGTTATACATGTGTATAGTAATTTTTACCCCATGTGGGGTTCAATGAGCTATTTGGAGACCTACTTCATCAGCTTGGAAAGTTCTTGGAAATTATCAATTCAGATTTCCTGTTGCATTTTCTCTCTACTTTCCTTCTGTACTTCAACTATACTAGGTAAGATCATTTGACATTGTTTGGCAGATACTAGATGCTCTGTTTTACTCCCCTTAGTCCTTTTTTCTTGGTCTTTCAGTTTAGAAACTTCCTTTGACCTATCTCAAAGTTCACAGAACTTCACTTCATTTGTATCTAACCTGCTATTAAGACAATCTAATGAATTCTTCGTTTCAGGTATAGTATTTTTCATTTCTAACATTTCCATTTGGTTCTTTTTATAGATTTCAGGTCTCTGCTGAAATTCTTTAGCATTTTTAGTAGTAACTTGAAATTTTCCATTAGTTAATTCCATGATTTGGACCTAATTCTCTTGCCTGTTTCTTTCTTTTTCTTTTTTTTTTTTTTTAAGACTTTATTTTTAAGTCATCTCTACACTCAATGTGGGGCTTGAAGGGGCTTGAACTCACAACCCTGAGATCAAGAACTGCATGCTCTACCAACTATGCCAGCAAGGTGCCTCTCTATTGACTGTTTCTTAACAATGAAATTTTCTTACTTTATATCTTCTAATTTTTTTATCATATGCCAGACATTTTGTTATTAAAGTTTTCACTGAAAAACTGAAGTACGTAATATTTACCTCTAGAGAAGTATACCCTTTCTTTTATCAGGACATTAAAGTAGGGATCTAAGTAATTTTGATCTATAACTGATCTGGGTCTGGGTCTTACCACATTCGTGCATTTGTTAATCACTAAATTAAAATATTTTGAGGGTAGGATCTGAACTTCAGTTGATTTTGCTCACGGGAAGTCAGAAAGCCAGGAAGGGCCTGGTCTATAGCCCACGGTGATTACCACTATTGCTTCTTCAGCTATAAGATGTCATTGTTGGCTGAGGTGCAATTAAAAATGTCCTTCTGAGTGGTCCCTCTCAACTGACTCCAGAGATGTGTGCAATGTTCTTAAAAATACAGTGTCATGTTTGGCCTCCATGGGTGACGTATAGCATCCTCATATTCCAAGGACTTCATGCAAGTGCGGTATGGATCTCAGACACTTGCAGAAACTCCTAAACTACTTATTTCTTGTCCTTCACTGTGGTTAAATTTTCTTTTTAATTCTTTTTTAAAGATCTTATTTATTTATTTGACAGAGAGGGAGAGGAGCACAAGCAATGAGGAGCAGCAGAGGGAGAGGGAGGGGGAGAAGCTGGTCTTCAATAAGCAGGGAGCCCAATGTGGAGCTCAACCCGAGGACCTTGGGATCATGATCTAAGCTGAAGGCAGATGCTTAACCTATTGAGCCACTCAGGCGTCCATGTGGTTAAATTTTATCATTTTTGCATTCTTATACTATAAATTTTTGCATGTTCACTTTTTTCCGTAATTAGACTAGCCATGGATGAATGAGGATGATGATGATTAGGTCTTTTCAAAGTACAAAAAGTTCAGGTTTTATTTTTCTTTTATATTCCTATTTAATTAGAAATGTTTAAACAGAATGGATGTTCAATTTTATCAAATGCCCTTTAGGCATCTATGGAATCATCACAAATGGTTTCAAGGAGAAAAATTAGTACAGTGATTACATTAATAGATTTCTTGGTACTAAACTAAATATTGCACCCTAACTCCACTTCGTCAGAGAATATTCTAACATGATACTGGATTCTACTTGCTAATATTTTACTTAAAATACAGGCATTAAAGGGATGCCTGGGTGGCTCAGTCAATTAAGCATTGGCCTTCAGCTCAGATCATGATACCAGGGTGCTGGCATCGAGCCCCGCATTGAGCTCCCTGCTCAGTGGGGGTCTGCTTCTCCCTCTCTCGCTGCCCCTCTCCCCCTCTGCTGGTGCACTGTTTCTCACTTCCACTCTCTCTAAATAAATAAATAAATGATCTTTGGAAAAAAATACAAACATTAACATTGACAAGTAAGACTAGTCTGTAGTTTCCGTTTTTGTTACTTTTGTTGGGTTTTAGTATCATAACTAACTTAATTAAAAGGCTACACACTGTTCTCTTTCCATGCATACCTAGCCATGGTCACTGAGAGACACCACTGAGCTGCTTAATCACAGTACCTGTTCCAGTAGCCTCAGTTTTATCTGTTGCTCCTCACTGGAAATTGCTCCCCCCAATTTAAAGCTTTCTTCCAAGTTCAGACATTAAAGGTTGATCCTCTAATCCAGGAGTCAGCAAGTTCTAGCTTGTGGGCAGGCCACATATCTTTGTAAATAAAGCTTCCTTGGAACACAGACATACCCATGCATTTAAGCATTGTCCACCGCTGCTCTTGGGCTACAATGGCACCAGTGAGTAGTTCTAACACAGTTCTAACAGAGAAGGAGGGCACACAAAGCCTATGCTTGCTGACCTCTGCTCTAATTCTGTGATTGTTTTAAGCCAAACCCCATCTTTTCAATCATTTCATCTCAGGGAAAGAGTGCAAAAAGACACCATCTGTGTTGTTTTTTTGAAGCCCAGCCCAACCAAAATGTTTTTAGGTAAAAATGTCAACCCTAGTAGGCAGCCTTGGTCTTGGCTCAGGTGAGGTTTCCTCAGAGTGAAAGAGGCACTATCACTTTTCCTCCTTCCACTTCCCCCTCCTCAGGAGTTCAAGATAACAATCAGGGAAGAAGTGTTCAAACAAAAACATATCTTGCATTTTTTCAAGTTAAATACCGTTAGTAGGTAATTGAGCTGGCTCTAACATTTATATGTTAAATACAATTTGGCTTCTTACCTCTGAAAGCAAACTCTCCAGAGACATAGGATCCATCTTGCTGTAGACATTCCATAGACTCAAACTCACATCCTGCAACTGCAACATAAGGGTAAAAACATTGAAATAAATGAGTCAATATCACTACGACAATCAGAAGTATCATAAATGACTATCTTGGTGAAAACTCAGTGATTAGAATAATAAATCAAAATCTTATCAATTATATTAGAACCAATACATATTAATAAATGCTGTCCCATTCAAGGAAGCTATCTTTACAGAAACTTTGGTACATATTTTGAATACCCTTCTGAGGACTCTTTTCAATGCTCTTTGAATTACATTTTTTCAATCTAACTGGTGGGAACAGGAACTGTTCTCAAACCTTAGCATGTATCAGGCACGGTTCCTGATTACTTTTCAGATTTTTTTAAACTCTGCCCTTGGTAGTTACCTGACACATGAATGCACTGACACTTCTGTTGAATACTTGGGATGGGGGAGAGCAGGAGAATCTTGGCAGATCTTCAGGGTTCTCTCTGGGCACTTTCCTTTTTAGTACTCTGGCTGCCCTGCTCTCAACAGACTCCACTGCATCTTCTCGACTTAGAAAATACACTGGGATCCACCTGGGTATCCCCTCCACCCCATGCCGTGGGCCTGGAAATTTTCTCAAAGTAGTAAGCTAGTGTAATCATAAGGCTGACCTTGGCTATTTCTCTCAGGGAATCATTATTTTTCATTGTCTGACATCTACTGTCTTGAAAACCATTGCTTCACATATTTTGTTTTTTGTTTGTTCTTTTGGTTTGGCTACGTTGAGTTGTTGTGGGAAGGAGAGAAACCTCCTATTGTCTTATGTAGGTGACTTATTTTTTCTTCCTGGAAGCTTTTTGTGATCTTTTATCCTTACTGTTCGAAAAAGGCATAGGTAGACTTAAGGCTTTTTCCTTTCCATTTATACTTGCTAAGTCATTTAATTTAAAAGTTTTTATTCTTTTTAATCACTCAAAATGTTTCTTTTTAAAAAATTTTCTCCCTTTTGGTATCTCCGCTCTGTATTTCTGCAACTCTTGCTTGTTGGCTATCAGACTTCTTGGATCAGTTCACTATGTCTTTTAACTTTTTTTCCTCGTATTTTCTATCTCCTTGATTTTTTAATTTTATATTTTTAGATAATTTCCTAACTTTACTTTCCAACCCCTCTATTAATTTAATCAATTATAATTTCCCAGAGCTCTTATTTTCTTTATGTTAATTTATCACCACATAATGCTTGTTCTGTAGTCATCAAATCTTCCTTGTCTGGGCATCCTAATGAAAATTTTGTGCCTTAAGTTTTGCCCTATATCTTAATTACCTTTGGGTCTTATCCAATCCATCTTTTTTTTTTTTTTTTTTTTTTAAATCTTGATCTTTTCCTTTCAAGTTACAGGCATTTAATCAAATGTCTAGTGATCTTTGGTTGCTTGTTTTTATTTCCAAATGGAAAGGCAAATTGGAAGCTTTATGCTCTCAGCAAAGCTTGTCAACTACTAGAAATTATTTTAGGGAGAGCAGACAGGCAGGAGGCAGTTATTCAGGATCTCTACTCCCTTATATTTAAAATTCCAAAAGATTGAGTTAATATATTTGGCTCCTTCCTCTGTATTCTGGAACAGCTTTTCAAGTATCAACTGATTTAATTTTTTGAAGGAATCGGATTTCTAATTTTAAACATAAACCTTAATTTTACTAATAATTTTGAGACATAATATTTCCTTATGTCATCTCCCTTTTTAATTTTGTGTGCTCTGCCTACCATATCTCATTTCTCTTTTTATAAACTCCATTCTTAAAAGGTATAAAAGAGACATTTTCTCATTTTTTATTCTATTTTTCTTAGAGAAAATCTTTTTAAAAAGCATAATGATCTATCTTCGCATCAAATATGCTATGGTCTCTTTCTTAAATCTTATTGAATCTTTTCATAAGTCTTATTCCACCTTTCATTATAAAGAGCTTATGTTTGCTCATAAAAAGATAAATTAATGCTTTCTCTATGGTTACTCTCATTATTCAGAAGTTTGCTTATAGAATCCTCTCCTTGAGAAGCTAGTTGATGTAAATTTACATTACTAGGTGACAATTCCAGAAATTGGAGAGTTAAAAAGGAGGAAGCTGGAGACAGGTCAAGCTCTATCAGAGGACTTTTCCTGTGCTGCTTCTTAGAAAGAATTCTCTATATATGTAATTCAGTTTGGCTCAACCTAAATGCCAGGTAAAAGCTTATGTGGGTCTGGCTTCCTTTCTTGTGTTGGCACCGAGTACATCCAGGACAAAGCAGACTCTGGGTTAACGACTTTCTTCTGGGTATAGACATACAATAAAACAGAATTTTTAAAAATTAAGTTTTAAGTGTCTGTAGTTCTTCTCTTGGCCTTCAAAAGACTCAAGAGTCTTTCTGGCTCAGAGAGTTATCAGGCCTCTGGTGTGTGACTCAGAGTGGAGTACTATTCCGTACCCTAAAGGCTGGTAATGAACGGAACTGGGGTGGGGGGAGAATGAGGGGGAAACAAAAGGAAAGTATTTGAGAGAATGACAATTACAGCTACAAAGAAAGGCAGGATCTAGAGAAAGGGATCTTGAGAGAAGGCTTATAGTTTTCACTGTGTGAAATGTTACATTTCCTCCTCACTGCCCACTCCACCCCATTAAACACCACCCTACAGGAAAGATCTATATTATCTTGTAAAGGTTTTTTGGGAGGGATTTTGTTGGGCTACCTGGCTAGGTCAGTCAGTAGCGCCTGAGATTCTTGACCTCAGGGTGATGAGTTCAAGGCCTATGGTATGCGTGGAGCCTACTTAAAGAAAGGAAAGGCATTTTGTTCCTTTTGGATGTGTCTCAGTGTAATGCGCCTTAAGGCATGAGTCAGAAGGGCTGCCTCATTTGGTTTGTATGAACCCTGCAGCCTCCTTGTGTACTGCCTTTTTTTTTTTTTTTTTTTTTTTTTAAGTAGTGCCCACACCCAGCACAGCTCTAGTGTGGAGCCCAATGTGGAGCCTGAACTCAAGACCCTAAGATCAAGACCTGAGCTGAGATCAAGAGCCAAATGCTTAACTGAGCCACCCAGGCGCCCCAAGTCCCCTACTCTTCTAAATTAGAGAGCACTGAGGCATCTGGGTGGCTCAGTTTGCTGAATGTCTGATTCTTGGTTTTGGCTCAGGTTATGATCTCGTGGGTGGTGAGATGGAACCCTGTGTAAGACTCTGCATTCAGGAGGAAGTCTCCTCCTCTCCCCTCCCCCACTCGTACTCACCCACTCTCTCTCTCTTAAATAAATAAATCTTAAATAAATAAATAAATTAGAGAGCATTACTGCCTAGCAGGGGCAGCTCTCACAGCCTTTTAAAGTTCTGTTACTTACAGTCAATCTGAGAATACTACAGTTTTGGAGCAGGAACAGTGGAGTCCAAGTGGTATGCTTCTTTTCAACCCCACAATCCACGTTCCTTCCACATTACAGGGTTAACCAGGCAAGAATCCATTTACTTCCAAGGGACACTGCTACTTCTTGGAAGGAGGGGCAGTAATTAGCCCTGGGCCATCCTTCCTATTCTATGCCTAATAGTATGTTCCCATTTTGAGCATGTCGATGCTCATTCCCTGTTTCTGTGCTGGAGCAGGTCATCTCATTGGGAGATGCCTACAGTGATGCTGTTAACCTACCAGGCCATCCTCCTTAATCTGTACCCTCCTTAATATGTACCCTTAATATGTAAAGGAGAGGGTGACCCCCCCTCTCCCAGACTCATTAATTCACTTAACAAATATTTACAGGTCATCTCCTAGACAGAAGGAATACTGAGATAAAAGATACTGTTTGGAATGCAAAAGATAACCTTCTTATTCCTCTAGTATGCTGTACTTATACAAAATTCTGCACTGTCCTTTCCATTTCTCTTGAATAGTTCTCAAATTATATGAATTTCTGAGATACAAACAACAACAATGAAAAGGCTTTTGTTTTCATTTGTTTTCAAGGAGCTTCCTATCCAGAGACCAGGGGTGGGTGGGAACACAAGTAGGGCTGCGTCCTATGTATAACATAGGACAAAGAAAGCTACAAGAGGAATCAGCTTAGGGTGCTGCAGGAGTAGACTGGAAGAGCAATGGACTCAGAAGGGGGAAAAGAGAGAGAGGAGGACAGAGAGAAACTCCTAGAAGAAAGGACAAAAAAGAATAGTTTAGGGACTAGATTTGCATATCATCTATTTTCCATTTCAAGTTTTTTAACTTGTTCCATGCTCTTGAGAGATCACTGCTAGCTTTTCAGTGTTATAATGATGCACACTCACATTGTGGGGGCCCTTAATAAAAACAGCAAGTGGCAGACAAAAGCCAGGCATACTGCCTTTCATACATACCTCGTATTTCATGGTAAAAAATCCATCCCCTCCAATGCCCTCAAGTGCAAAGGCCTGTACAATTGGCCATTTCTCTACTACAAACATATCAAATATCTGCAAGTGACCTAGAGGAATCAAATAAAACAACATGTATCAAATACTATCCTGGATATAATAGTCTAGACCTGATCTAATGTGGTTAGACAGGCATCACCTCTCTCAAATTCACCCCAGCCACATTTAGCAAAATAAAAAGTGAAACAGATAAAATGGTTAGATATTAAAACTAGAAATACAAAATCAAAGTCCAAGAAAATTCAACCCATAACAAGTTACATAAATTCAGATTTCCCTATAGCATATTTTCACATTCTGGTTTCCTAAGTGAGCAAGCTAAGTTAGTAAATAAATAGTGGCCTATTACATCTGACTTGTATCACTTAGTGGATATAATTATTAACAGACTCAAACTTGGCTCTCCCCCTTAAGAAACATAGCCAATCAACTTCCTCAAGGGAAAATTACCAAATAAAAAATTTTTCTTTCTGTGCTTGCTTCAGCAGCACATATACTAAAATTGGAACAAAAATTTTTCTTTCTTATAGCAATAGCTCTAAGTACAAAGTTTTTTTTAAAAATAAGATATAAGCACTGCTAAACTTGATTATTTTCCTTTATTTTTACACATCTTTTTTTTAAAAAAGATTTTATTTATTTATTTATTTGAGAGAGAAAGAATGAGACAGAGAGGGCATGAGAGGTGAGAGGTCAGTGGGAGAAGACTTCCTGCTGAGCAGGGAGCCTGATGTGGGACTCAATCCTGGAACTCCAGGATCATGACCTGAGCCAAAGGCAGTTGCTTAATCAACTGAGCCACCCAGGCACCCCTACACATCATTTTTGAGCCTCACTGTCAACATATTTTTAACAGCTGCCTGAATTACTATCTCTTATTACCAGGAGCCTCCACAGTATACTCTCCGTACGATTAAGTGGCACAGCTAGATGGCAACTGTGGTGAATCCCTTATCAATTTTTCTATCTGACTAGATGGCCTGCTGTGTTGTCATAGAAATTTCAGTTATGAGTACCAGCTTGCACAGAAAAATCCCAAATTTCATTGTGCTTGATTCTCTGCCTTTAATGAAAATAGATCAATGGGTTTCCCAGCTGAATGCCTCCAATGGAAGGAGGGAGCAGTAGAAACGCTGGATTCACACATCATCCAAGCAAGGTTCTAATACGGCTTGCTGTCAGATACTGACCTTGGGAGCTGTAAGGAATGCCAATTCTACTACAATCTCGAACCATGTCCACAAAGCTGGCAATTTTAAATTCTTCTGCAGCTTCCTCATCTTCATACTGAAGAGGAAAATTGAGGGAAAAATAGGTTCTGAGGAGACATCATACAAAATCCCCTATTTTCTTGGTATTTTATCAATCAGAGTTATCTCAAATGACATTTATAGAGGACTGCACCCAAGAGGGTGGTTCTAAAGGCCACGTTTTGTGTTTCCTGGTCAGATACCTGAATGCAAGAGCTGAAACTTGCCTCAAAAATTCCCCAGAAGCTCACATGTTGCTCAAGGGGCAACTGTATATCAGTATTTTTTATAATTTTATTTTATTTTTCTTGGTGGATCATAAATCTGTTGTGTTATGTTAGTGATTATTTAGGATTGATAGTAAATACCCTAAACTTAAAAAAAAAGAAAATAAAGAAGGGTTTTTGACCCATATTAGGTCACCATTTCCATGAAATCCTAAATCTCAAGTCCTGATTTGATTTCCAGCCAAACCCTTGAAAAGAACCCAAAAGGAAACAAATACCAAAAAATCCAAATACAGAAATGTTACAAAAGCTTATCAAACTCTCCTGAGGCAGTCCACGGCACTAGTCCCCTAAGAGAATGGGTACAGACTGGTGATAAACAAGCAGGACAGGAAGCTACGACTAGGTCCCAATTGAAGAATCCCTTTTGCCTGTCAGGCATACAATTTAACTATAGGGTAGCCTCATAATGAATTATGAAAATTTCCACTAAAACAAGTAACTTTTTTGTGTGATGACATCCTGCAATTTGATTTTTTTAAGGGGCCTCCTATTCTAGATCTATACTTTTCTGAAAGAGTATCCTCGGAATGTCTCTGAGTGCCTATTCTATCTTCCCTCCTTACCTCATTTTCAGTCATGCAGTGGAAATGCAGATTCCTCCAATGTGCCACATAGGGTAAGAGATAGCGATAGTTGACAGGATTACAGTACAGATGGACACTATCTGATTTAATCAATATAATTACATCTGTAAGAAAAACAAAATTAAATCACATTGTCAAAGTCATTTCCTTTACACATTTTCTGTTCACATCATTAATAATACCATTAAAGCCATTTCAGAGATAATGTAACAAAACTCTAAACTGAAAAGTTCTTTATATCTAGGCAACGTGACTCAAAGTGACTGTCTAACTCGTGTGGGCAGCAAGGACTTTCTAGTTCCTGTGCAATGCTCCCATCACTGTGGCCCTCTGGTTATGACAATGCAGACACAGAATAAGTCAAAAGAACAGCCTTCAGGATGTTCTGCTTTTGTAAAGTTCAACACCGTCAAATCTGTGGTACCAGACTTAGGTGTGTACTTTGCTACAGAGATAAATACCAAATGAAAACTCCATAGCCTAAAGCCACCGAGGCAAGAAATAGCATGGAATACCACCGGTGACATTCTTCTGTAGGCATGTCTAAAGTTCTTGGCTGTTGACTCAATGTAATCATGGGCCTGAGGACATCACTATTCAGCTGTGGGAAGGGTTACTGTGTATGAGGGTGAACTCTGTACACAGGAAAGGCTGGGAGGAAGGAAGTAGAGGCAAGAGGACAAGGCTTCTATAAATAGATCAGCAGCTCACAGACTTAAGAAAAAACCATGGATGTTGGTGGGTCAAATAAATAAAACAATCCCAAGTGTGCAAATAAACTTAGGTAAGTTAACAAGAGCCCTGGAATGGGGCAGGAATACTAAAGCAGTTTGAGGAATGAGAAAGAAAGCAGTCATACGTCCAGAAAAAGAGCAGAGCTCCACTGCCGGGCGTCTGAGAAAGCAGAGCCACCGCAGGCATCTAACAAGATGGTGCTAGGGAAGTTGCTAGAGGAGGATGGCTGGAAGTGAGAGGAGCAAGGGGGCATCTGAAACAGCAGGTTTAGGGCAATGCCAACACAGTAACACAAAGTGACAGCCTATATTCTATAAAAACCTAGGCCCGATGAATACCAATAGCAGCTGACCACGCCTCTTGAAATAAAGTTCCATGATGCTGACCTTCAGGTTTTCAAAAATCACTCTGTGCCCCACACCTGGTCAGAAGCAGGTGTTCTAGGGAACATGGTATAGGGCAGCCTATTCATTGATGACTCTCAGTTAAGCACAAGAATCAAAAGGTGGCAAAGGATGGGACAGAGATCACCTCTCATCCTGCTGGTTTTCTTCATACAGGCCCTCTAAGGGCCTTGCCCTGAATCACTTGCAGATTGCCTTCTGAGGAGTGAGAGTTTAAAGTCATACGGAGAGGCTGAGGGGGCTTCCTGTGTAGGCTGTACTTTACGCTAATGTGTAATACTCCACAAAGAATTAGGGTCCAGTAAAAGAAATAATGCAACAACTACTGTTCTACTCTCAGAATCTCATTGGACTCTGATGCCATTGCTCTGAACAAAATTAACGGTAAAAGATGAAAGTGTAAGAAAACTGGATGAATATGCAAACTATTTTAAAAGTGTTTTTAAAAAATAAATTCTTCATGTTGGCCTCTTTTCCTCTCCTATAGAGATCAAAATGTAGATGCATAAATCCAGGGACCACAGTTTGCCAACTACTTGAATTTTAAAAAAATGAATTTACTAACTTATTTTTAATTCATTAATGATATATTAAATCAGTCAAAGAAAATGCTCATTTTATAAGTACCCATTGTGCCAGATGGCAGGATAAAGACAATTATAAGCATGATAAGCAAAAAAGGCACACCTTTGAGGATTTAAACTATTTCCTTAATTTCAGGACTACAATATCCTTAGCAACTTGGGCTGCAGTGAAATATGTGGCTGGTATGAGCATCTGTCTTTTTATAATTCTAAATGACTGCCAAGATGAATTCTTTTTTTTTTTTTTTTTTTTTAAGTAGGCTCCATGCCCAGCATGGAGACCAATGCAGGGCTCCAACATACAACCCTGAGATCAAGACTCAAGCTTAGATCAACAGTCTGACCCTTAACTGACTAAGGCACCCGAGCACCCCAAGATGAATTCTTTCTAAACCAGTAGATGTTGTACAGCGTAAAGAGGCATTTAAAAAAAAAAAAAGATTTCATTTATTTACTTGAGAGACAGAGCACAAGCAGGGGAAGTGGGAGAGGGAGGAGCAGGCTCCCTGCTGAGCAGGGAGGCCAATGCAGGACTTGATCCCTGGATGATGGGATCATGACCTGAGCCAAAGGCAGAAGCTTAACTGACTCAGAGGCCCTGCAATAAAGAAGCATTCTTAATAAAAATCAAAACCTGAAAGTAAATTTGAAATTGAAAGAAATTTAATGAAAGTTCTAATTGCAACCTACTCCTTCTGCACTTCCTAATAAAAAGAAAATCTTTAATCAGTCTACAAGGATAAACACTATTAAGGATTTTACCACAGAAGAATTTTCACATCCCAGCAGACCAGGGCTCCTTAAACTTAGAACTACTGGTAGTTTAGACCACCTCATTTTTTGTTGTCGGGGGCTGTCTGGATGCACTGTAGATGTCTAGTAGCCACTATGCCCAGTTGTGACAATCGAAAATGTCTTCAGATATTGCCAAATGCCCCTCAGGGAATAAAACTGCCCCCACTTTAAAACCATTGCGCTACATCCACTGCAAGATGACTTCAATATCAGTATTCAGTATCAGATGTTAGCCTTCATGTACTCCCCAGCTGCTTCACAAGAGCTGCCTGTCTCTTGTCCAGTTTGATTTGTCTATTCCTGTGTCTCCTGATCCATTTGGCAGACAAGTCATGATGCTCAGTATGCAATATCAGAGACAGCTCCTGGGCATCAGCCCACAACAGCATCAACACAGGGAGAGTGTCTCAGAGCTAAAGAAAGGGGAATGTAAGCAGAAAGCCTCCATTGTAATCGTGGGCATTCTCATGAATTAAAGTCACACAGAAAACAATTCCCAAAGACAGAACTGGACAAAGAGCCTTTGTTCCTAGCTGAAGATCCACATGAAATCTTCCTTGTAGGAGTAGCCTGCAGGCTCATCCGTTACCCACAACTGAATGCACTTTCACAGGACAACAGCACATAATCTGAACCTCCCAGCACGTAAAGGCAGTGGGCAATTCAGAGGAAACCTAGTACCTTGCCAAGAAGATATAAAGCCAAACTAATATGCACATTTCCCTCTAAAGCTGATTTAGCCAGTAAACATATTCTGAAAACTACTTGTCACTAGTCTTACCCGAGTAAGATTACTAAGTAGATTACTAACAGGAGCATACTACTTAATACTATATATACTTACCATCTAGAACTTCTTCAGAAAATCCTGTTTTCTCAAAATCACATGTATTCTGATTGTACAAACCAAAGAGAAGGTAATTTGCCAGCTCTCTGCAGCCTTCATTGTACCTGCTATCGATCCCTGCAAAGCAAAGAAGGCTCTGATCAGCTGTACTATGGGACACAAATGAGCCCCCATAAATTGCCCCTGCTCAGCAAAATCCACATGGTTAGGCTAAAGGCAGAAGCTCACACCAATTTTGTGCCAGAAACCAAATTAGCAACTCTGTGAAAGAAGCATCAAGTACTCTTCCTTGGTTTTCAAGATCCATCTAGTTTAGACAATTAAATAGTACACATTATTGAAGCTATTTTTTCACTATAGAAAGAAAAAAAAGCAATTTTTTCACTATAAAGAAGCAGAAAATATGGGTCCTGCCACGGCTGGTTAAAGATTTTGGAATACTTTTCAGTTAGAATAGGAATACAGGATAAAAAATACTTCTCAAAGAGAGCTTTATCCAAACTTCAGGAATCAAATAAAGGCAGTTTAAGGTAGTTTGAAAAGAACTCAAAGTGAAAAAGAGTACAAGTGAATGGAACTACAGACACCCATCATTTCACAAATATTTATGAAGCTCAAGGACCATCATTGTGTTGGATGCTGGAGTGTGTGATAAACATGCCTGCACATGGACCCCATAAAGCTTACAGTCTAGTGGGGCTGGGACAGAGACAAAAAAATTTAAACAATACACCTTCACTACTGCCTTTCAGTGGCATGGGCATCGGTACTACCTGGTTCCTGAGTATATCTGAACATGTCACAGGCAGGTAGACAGTGGTAGCTATCTACATGAGGCTGAGGAAGGAGTTGGAGCAGAAAGCACTCCAAGAATAGAAATATGGCTAGAGCCTGGGAAAGAGGGCTGGCAATGGTCACTCAGACAAGTGAAAAAAAGTAATGGTCATTTAGACCGGAAGGGCCCAGGGACTACCTGTGACAGAGGACTTCTAATATAAGAGAACTCCCTTCTAAGTTGAGATCAAAGCAGCACGGGCCTGTTCTATCCCATTCAACGCTTCAGTGAAGGGAGGGGTGAAAAAGAATCAAAAGCCAGAATGGACTGGCCTATCTAAGACCCAAAGTTTAAAGGGCTACAGAGTTAAAAATAAACAGACTAGGCAGACCTAGCCTCAGCATGTCTACTTCCAGGGTTCTGGCCACATAAATTGCTGACATGAAAAAGACTGACCATGTCAAATTAAAGGCAAAAGAAACTCTATGTAGGCATGATGCTTTAGCTGACAAAGTTGTTTCTCATAAGGGTATTACAGGTTAATAATTCTGATACTATTATACATGTATATTGGAATTAAACAAGTAAACTGGATGATGGGTGCCAAGTTCCCTACTGGTGAAGTAGAAGTTTACAGATAAGCAAAAGGGGGAAACTAGAATAATCTATGTAATAAGTGGGTAGCTGGAGACATTAATCTGAATTCATGTATAGCTTAATATAGATACAGACGGTTACATAACAATTACAGGTAATATACACACAAACTGTCAGCTGTCAGCTGCCCCAGAGTCTAGAAGCATTTGACATCCTAGTAGTAACAAAATGTATCCAATGCCCAGATCCTGGTCTCTTTTCTTTCTTTCTTTCTTTCTTTCTTTCTTTTTTTTTAAGATTTTATTTGTTTACTTGACAGAGAGGGAGAGAGAGAAAGAAAGAGAGAGGGAGAGATCACAAATAGGCAGAGAGGCAGGCAGAGAGAGAGGGGGAAGCAGCTCCTCTCCAAGCAGAGAGCCTGATGTGGGGCTCAATCCCAGGACCCTGGAATCATGACCTAAGCCGAAGGCAGAGGCTCAACCCACTGAGCCACCCAGGCGCCCCCAGATCCTAGATTCTAATACCATTCTCTGGTTAAAGAAACCCCAGCACTCCTTGGTGAAATGGCTGATTCTAGGACTGGAGCAGGAAATATATAAAATAAGCCTAGGGGTGCCTGGGTGGCTCAGTGGGTTAAAGCCTCTGACTTCGGCTCAGGTCATAATCCCAGGTTCTGGGATAGAGCCCCGCATGGGGCTCTCTGCTCAGCAAGGAGTCTGCTTCCCTTTCTCTCTCTCTCTCTGCCTGCCTCTCTGCCTACTTGTGATCTCTGTCTGTCAAATAAATAAATAAAATCTTAAATAAAATAAAATAAAATAAAATAAAATAAAATAAGCCTAGAGTATCTTATAGTGCCAGAAAGTACAGAAGTGCTAAACAAGTGCTAAACTTTGATTACAGTAGGTGGAGGGGGGATGTACGTCAAAGGGAGGGACACAGAAGCCAACTGAAATGACTGCATAAGTACAGTAATGAACAGGTGCTTTTATTCATAGGTAAATTCATGGCAAAGACAGCCCCCACTCTTCTGAGGGTTATAGCTAGAGAGAGAATCCAATGAATGGATTCTTTAAATCCAGTTTAAACATTTGAAACCTTTGGTGGGAATTCCAGGTCCACCACAGCTGTGGTTTTGTTTTGTTCTGTTTTTAGGTAAAATACAGCTTTAACAAAAAATAGTGTCATTTCTACCATAAATCCATATTTCCTTCTAAAAGCAGAAAACTTGATCATATTTTCCCAAGTAAGCTCAGTAAAGTTATTGTTCAGTTTTTTAAATTTGAAACTTTGGCAATTTTTAAGGTTCTGCCCTTTATTTTCTCCCCTAACTACCATTTAAATTTCAAAGAGGGCTTCTGCAGGATTGTGTGTGTGTGTGTGTGTTGAGTGTATATGGTCAAGATGCATTCTTTGTTCTCTGCTGGCATCAGCTGCTATTCATTTTAATTTTTATTTTAATCCAATTAATATATAGTGTATGATTAGTTTCAGAGGTAGAGTTCAGTGATTCATCAATCATTTATATAATACCCAGTGTTCATTATATCACATGCCCTCCTTAATGTCCATCATCCAGCATCCCTCAGTTTATTTCCTATGATTAAGAGTCTCTTATATTTTGTCTCCCTCTCTGATTTCATCTCGTTTTATTTTTCCCTCACTTCCCCTATGATCCTGTTTTATTTCTTAGATTCCACATACGAGTGAGATATGATAATTGTTTTTCTCTGATTGACTTATTTCACTTAGCATAATACCCTTTAGTTCTAGCTGCAATCCCTGCAAATGGCAAGATTTCATTTTTTAGGATGGCTGAGTTGTATTCCATTGGATATATATACCACATCTTCTTTATCCACTGTCGATGAACATCTGGGCTCTTTCCGTAGTTTGGTTATTACACCATAACTGGGTTTTTATGGAAACCCACCAACCTCTGAGCTGAGTAGTGGAATCAGGATTCAAACCCAAAACCTGCCTAGCTCCAGAGCACATGTTTTTAATCACTCTGCACACTGCCTCTCACAAGCTTAAATGCAAGTGCTGTTAAGTGAAAACACAAAATCATGCATGGAATATGTGAGGAAAGACAAACAAGAACCTAGCAGTGTTTTGTTTCTGGGAAGGAACTTGGGTGGTTGATGGGCAAACCACCAGACGTAACAATTCCACTTCCATAACTCAATACTAAGGGTATAAATGAAAATGAGATAAAGAACATCAATCTGAAATGATGTTCAGAAAAATCTCCAAGATACATTGTTAAATGAAAACATGAAAATTTAAAAATTAGGCTAATGACAGTATGAATAAAATGTTCCCATTTGTGTTTAAAAAAAAAGATTCAATGCTATCTCTGGGGAGTGGAACTGGTACCTGGGATGGTTAGGAAGCTCTGTTCATTATCATTTGCATACTGTCTTAATTTTTAAATTATATGATGCATTTTCATAATAAAAACATTTAAAGAACAAATAAAGGCCCAGTTCTGCCACTCGCTGGTCCTGAGCAAGTCTGTTTCATGTTCTAGAGTATCAGACTCCCGCTCCGTAAAAAAGAGACAATGCTGTTCCCTTGCAAGGCGGCTGTGAGGAGAAATAAGGTAACATGTACAAAGTACCTACCCTGTGGTACTGTCTCCTGCCTCCTTATCCCACTGATAGGTCACCTGACCTCATAGGAACAGCAACAGATTTCAAGGGAAGAAGAGCTGGGAGAAGGACACTAACTCAGCTTATCTCACAATGATACTATTATTAATATCTTCCTTGAACAGAAGCCAAGTTGCCCCACCTTGTTAAAAGCACTGACCTAGGATGCAGAGGATCCCATCAGGTTGAGACTTGCTGCTCTGGGTCAAGATGCTCTGAACCTTGCGGAGTCGGCTACAGCTGCAACAAGAACAGAAATCAGCTCCTGAGTGTCAGTACACGAAGGCATGAGGATGAGGAATGATGCTAGGGATGGAAAGTGGTCCTTGCCTGGTTTTGATATCAGAATATAAAATGAACTGGGAAGTACTCCCTTCTATTTTCTGGAAGAGATTATGCAGAACTTACCTGAAGCCTAAATCTGAACTGCTGATTACGAACTAACTGGACAGTCTGTGGCTCAGTGGCTCAGTACAGAATGGAACCAAAGGCCCTCTCAAGGTCAATGCTAGACAGGACTGGGACTCAGCAGCTGATCAGAAGTCTCTCCGGTGACTTCTCATTTTTGAGGATTATCAGAGAAGAGTTTCCACACTTATTTGCCCTAACTGTGATCCCCATCAGTTTGCCAAAAACAAAAGTGAAAAATAAAAACCAAAATATTGGTTTAAGGACCTAAGTGAAGTTCTGATTCATGATTACAACTACCCCCAGTTAGAGTATCAGCAAAGGGTATTTGTTCCTGTTTCTGGGCAGGTTTATTCCTGTGGCCTTAGCGAATAGTCCCTCCTCCCAAACAAAGCATAAGGAAAGGCACTCCCAGACATTAATATCACTTCTAAGGATTCCATGCTCTTCACACCAACCCCTCCTCCTTCCCAGCAGTCCTGGAAAAAAGATGCTCAATTTCCTACTTAAGACTGATACTTCTGGGGCACCTGGGTGGCTCAGTGGGTTAAAGCCTCTCCCTTCGGCTCAGGTCATGATCCCAGGGCCCTGGGCTCGAGCCTCACACTGGGCTCTCTGCTCAGTAGGGAGCCTGCTTCCTCCTCTCTCTCTGCCTGCCTCTCTGCCTACTTGCGCTGTCAAATAAATAAATAAAATCTTTTTTTTTCAATTATATGCATATTTGTAAATTACATACATATACTGCCAGATTTATAAAAACATTATAAAATGGATACCAAAAAATGAGAAAAGTATGGCATAACATAAAAATAAATCGAAAACAAACTTCTAGGGATTTCCCTTAACCCTACATCTTTTTTTTTTTTATAAATTTTATTTTTTTTAAACATATATTTTTATCCCCAGGGGTACGTGTCTGTGAATCGCCAGGTTTACACATTTCACAGCACTCACCATAGCACATACCCTCCCAAATGTCCATAACCCCACCCCCCCAAACCACCCTCCCCCCAGCAACCCTCAGTTTGTTTTGTGAGATTAAGAGTTACTTATGGTTTGTCTCCCTCCCGATCCCATCTTGTTTCATTTACTCTTCTCCTACCCCCTTAACCCCCCAGGTTGCATCTCCTCTCCCTCATATCAGGGAGATCATATGATAATTGTCTTTCTCCGATTTAAATAAATAAAATCTTTAAAAAGAAAAAAAAAAGACTGATACTTCTGCTAGATCTCTCCCTGTCACCTCCACTATTCCCTAACACTCCTGTATTTAATTTTTTCCCTACAGTCAACATATCCCCAGCCTTACCACAACATTATTAACTAAGATCCTCCACAAACTGACTACACTAACTGTTCCATCTATGACAATCAGACTTCATCCCCACCCCTTGCTGTATCTGTTCAATTACACTCCCTATACTCAACAGAACAACAGTACTCAGCCAAACAACATTATTTCTCTCCCCTGAAATCTTCCCCCCCACCCTCACGGACTCTTTCTGATGTTTCCACTCCCCCAAAAATCCATTTCGTGACTTATCACTGTCTTCCCTTACAATGTTCATATATACCACCTAACATCAAAACCAGAAGACAGTATTCCCAGAAAAGAAAGCTATAAACCAATATCCATCATGAATATAGCTCTAAAAACCCTTAATAAAATATTAGTAAATAAAATTCAACAACAAAGAATAATTATACACCATGACCAAGAGGGGTTTACCCCAGTGATACAAGGCTGGTTCATTATTGGTAAATCAATCAATGTAATCCATCATAATAACAGGCTCAAGAAGAAAAAAAATTACACAACCATATAACTGATGCAGAAAAATCATTCGATAAAGTTCAATACTTGGTCACAATAAAAACACTCGGAAAACTAGGAATTAAGATATTTAAGAGTGAAAGAAAATGCTCTTGCCCTAAAAGGAGGAACAAGAAAAAAATGTCTGCTCTCATCACTCCTAATCAACATGATAATGGAAGTTCTAGCTAGTGCAATTAGGCAAGAAAAGGAAATAAAAGACATACATATTGAAAAGGAGGAAATAAAACCATCCTTATCTGCAGATGATACAATGGCCTATGTAGAGAATCTCATGAAATCTACTAAAAAAATCCTAGAACTAATAAGTGAGTTCAACAATGTTGCAAGGTCAACATATATAAATCCACTCTTTTTCTGTATCAAAGCAATGAACACATGGAAACCAAAATTAAAAACACAATACCATTTAAATACAAATTTAACAAAACATACAGGATTTACATGCTAAAACTGTAAAACACTGATAAAGGAAATCAACGAAGGGGCACAGTGTAGCTCAGTTGGTTGAGCATCAGGCTCTTGATTTCGACTCCGGTCATGATCTCAGGGTAGTGAGATAAAGCCCCACATCAAACTCCATGCTCTTTGTGCTGCAGCTTCTCTCCCTTCCCCTCCCTCTCTGCCCCTCTCTCCCTGCTCACATGTGCTCTTTCTCTCTCTCTAAATAAGTAAATAAAATCTTTTTTAAAAAAGAAATCAAAGAAGATCTAAGTAAATGAAGAGACACTGTGTCCATGGATTGGAAGACTCAAGATAATATGGATGTCAATTCTCCCTAAATTGATGTAAAGGTTTAACACAATCCCTTCAAAATTCCAGCAAGATTTTCTGTAGATATAAATAAGATTAACCCAAAGCTTACATGGAAAGGCAAAGGAACTAGAATAGTTAAACATTTTTGGAAGAAGAAAAAATAGGGAAAGGAATCACTCTCATGTCAAGACTTATTATACAGCTAAAAGTACTCAAGACTGAGTGGTACTGACTGAAAGACAGACACATATATCAATGGAACAAAACAACTGCCAGAAATAGACCTACACAAATACAGCTAATTAATTTCTGATAAGGGTTCAAAAGCAATACAATGGAAGGATAGCCTTTTCAATAAATGGTGTTGGAGCAAATGATAACCACAGACAAAAAGAATGAACCTCAACCTAAATTTCGTACTTTATACAAAAATGAACTCAGGATAGATCACAAATTTAAAATTTTAAATATGAAAATAAAAAAGCTTTAGTTTTTTTTTTTTAAGATTTTATTTATTTATTTGACACAGAGAGAAAGCACAAGTAGGCAGAGGGAGAGGGAGAAGCAGGCTCCCTGCCGAGCAGAGAGCCGGATGATGCGGGGCTCGATCCCAGGACTCTGGGATCATGACCTGAGCTGAAGACAGATGCTCAACCGACTGAGCCACCCAGGTGTCCCAAAACTATAAAATCTTTAGAAGATAACAAAAGAAAATCTTCAGAACTTAAAATTTAATGAAATTCTTAGACTTGATACCAATAGTATAATCCATGAAAGAAAAACAATCAATAAACTGGATTTCATCAAAATTGTAAACTTTTGCTTTGTGAAAGACCCTGTTCAAAGAATGAGAAGACAAGCTACAGACTGGGAGAACATATTTATATCACATATCTGACAAAGTAGAATATATAAAGAACTCTTAAAACAACAGTAAAAAAATTAAAATCCAATTAGAAAATGGGTAAAAGGCATAAAGAAACATTTCTTCAAAGAGGATATAGAGATGGCAGATAAATACCTGAAAACATGTTCTACATCATTATCCATTAGGAAAATGCAAATTAAAACCACAATGAGATATCACTATACATCCATTAGAAAAGCTAAGGTAACAGTGACAATACCAAAATGCTAGGGAGGATTCAGAGAAACTGGATCATTCATTTATTTCTAAAGGAAATTAAAGAAGACACCAATAATGGAAATACATCCATGTTCATGTACTGGAAGCCTTCATATTATTAAACTGTCAATACTACAGGAAGTGATCTCCAGATTCAGCATAATCCCTATCAAAATCCCAATGATTTTTTTTTTGTAGAAATAGAAAAATGCATTCTAAAATTCATAAGAAATCTCGAGGGACCCAGAATTCTCAAAACCATATAGGAAAAAGAAGGACAAAGCTGAAGGACACACTTCTTGATTACAACAGTAACTACAAAGCTATGGTAATCAAAACAGGGTGGTACTGGCACAAAGATAGACATTTGACCAATGGAATGGAACGGAGAGCTCGAAATAAACTCTTTTTGAGACTGGCTTATTTCACTCACTATAATATCCTCATAGTCAAATGATTTTTCATAAGGGCACCAAAACCATGCACTGAGAAAGGGCTTTTTAAAAGGTTATATTTATTTATTTGAAGAGAAAGAGAGCAAGAAAGAGCACACAAGCAGGGGGAGGGGCAGGCAGAGGGAGAGGGAGAAGCAGGCTCCCCAATGAGCAGAGAGAGCCCAACGTGGGGCTTGATCCCAGGACCCTGGTATCATGACCTGAGCTGAAGGCAGACACTTAACCAACTGCGCCACCTAGGCACCTGAAAGGACAATTTTTCAACAGATGGCTTTGGGAACACTGTATATCCAGATGAGGAAGAATAAACTTGGATCCTTAACTTTACAACCATATATAAAATTAAACTCAAAAGAGAAAAAAGACCTAAATGCAAATCTGAAAACATAAAACTTTTAGAAGACATATGGGAAAAGTTTCATGAAATGGATTTGGCAATGATATATTGCTAGACACCAAAAGCACAGGTAACAGAATAAAAAATATGCAACTTAGACTTTATCAAAATTAAAAACTTACGTTCACAGAAGGACACAATCAACAAAGTGAAAAGGCAAACCAAAGAATGGGAGGAGATATTTGTAAATCATGTATCTGGTAAGAGACTAATATCCAGAATATATAAAGCACTCTTATAATTCAACCATACACACACACACAC